TCAAACCTAGAATCGATTATTTCTGGAAGTAATGAGTCCATATAAAACCGAGTAACAATGCACAGAAACGTCTGTAGCTAAACGTTAGATGTGGCTCCTGCGAGTAGTCAGTACTAAGTATCGACTTACATACGACTTACTAACCATACAGTATGTGTAAAAACTCATAACAATAAATATATCAAATTATAATTATAGGTTAGCACGATTCATGTTGGTGATCCATAAACAGCCCAACGCCATGACCGAGACGTAGTGAACTTGGTCAGGCCCCGGTCCTTTTTAGAAGCTGATCCAAAATCAGTCATGTTCGTGTGCGGATAGAAGTTTCGAACTGGTTGTAAGCTCAACTGATTTGCAACTTTTATCTCAAAACAGTTGCACCGTGTACGTTTAGTCTAAACTACCTATTATTGCCACCCGTAAAGAATACACGTATGCACACCGAAACTATTATATTATTATGTCAATAATAAATTATTATTGTTTATCGCTAACGAAGTGGTCTCAGTGAGGAAGTCTATAGCTGGGCGCGAGTTAAGAATGCGCAAGAATCAACTAATTTTGGTTGTGCCGTGGCACGTTCTCTTGCTGGACAGAGTATAAATGTTTTAATTTTTTTTTCTATTCCAAATTAACAGGTGGATGAATATATGACATTTTAGCTGTTTTTTTCAAACTCTGAAAAATAATACGCACATCCTTCCGCCCTCAGCCCAAAACATCATGACAATATTGAATGATCAGTATCGACAATTTTACACTCTGCGCCGTACTTAATAAATATAATCCCCGTCGATATGAAATCACAATAATTAGAAACTACGATATTGTCAGGCGAAGAAGAAAACAATATCAGATTACCGACTATTTATTTATGTTAAATTATTTTTATTGATCATTGTTCGATCATAATTCTCAATTAGACACGAGGCGAACGGGCTTTGACGGTTCTCTTTAACGTAGATAGAACGTATTATACAATGTTGGTAACTACAGTTGTAACAAACAATACGACACTATAGCATTGTAATTTTTTATTGTAGGCTTTTTATAATTACACTATTATGTGTACGCATTTTCCAAAAAAGGTACACGCAACGCTATAAAACAATTCGTTTGAACATTTATTAACCGATTCATGTTAGCTAGTTTATTTGATACGATTGGGTGCCCAATACGCACCAGTTCAATTTAACACGTGGTTCGTGATTTAATTTTGTGTTATCGTATTGCAATGAAGTTTATTTACATTTACTTTATAATGTTTATATTTCAGCCCTATATTGTGTGAAATCTTGTTACGAATACAACGTAAGCCAACTGGTTCAATGTAGAGATTATGCCGGTATGAGATTTGTATTCGTGTAAGCAGGACTTAAAATCATAACGATTTTATGGGTTATGGGTTTAGGTTACAAATGGAGAAGTAATGATCTAGATTAGGGTTTTAATGATATTATTTTATTTCGGTTTTAATGAAAACGAAGTAATGAGAGAGAAACATAAACAAATTCAAAATCAATATCTTCACCATTTAAAACCAAAATTGAAAATAAAAATCTGATGTATATAGGCATTATAATGCATTAAAATTTTAGAAACGTATAACCTTAGTAAAGGGTAATACTTAAAAGCATTGAAGCAAGTTTACATTTTTCTTTATTTTTGCAATTGTTGTGTTTGAGGTTTAATTGAAACAAAATAGTTGTTGAGGTTCCAACGTTTATTCGTGATATTACCGGTCTCGTTAATTATTTCGGTTTTTACCTATGGGTTACGTTCAATTAGTTTCAAGTTCTGGTTGCACTTCTAATTGATAGAAATGATGAAACTAAATGACACTGGATTATGGAACTCATTTATCCAAACATAGTGTCGTGATTAAAATAATTATTTTTTTATTGCACAATTATTGTGCATTCTACGACTGGTTCGGAACCATTTTCGTATAAATTGCATTTATTCGTTCGGTACATTCTTATTCGTATCATAAATCATTTGGTGAATAACACGTAACACTATACTATTATGTTGTGTATTATATACAAATATATGTATGTATTATCTTCGACTCTTATGATGTCACGTCGACTGACAAAACCGGTGTCTGTTTTGCTGCGCAGTCAATATAATTATAACGGTGTAAGGTGACTTGAATACAAGCCATTTTCTATTTTTAAACTGTTACGCAATAATATTTTACGTTGCCGTTCTGCAATTTTATTTTGTTTCTTGAATAGTGCTATGGAAATGGAATTATAAACTGTCAGTGAATACAGAGTATATCCCTGTATGCTATCTGCATTGTAGTAACAGGAGCTTAATTAAGAGGGTCGGGGATGAGAGAGATATATCACAACTGAAAACTGCAGCTAATACGACGAAAAATTTATCATTTTATATAGTTATTATTGTTGAGGTTGACGGTTGAGGTTGTAGTACAAAATATTATTTGTACAATCGTACACGTAGTGTCGACGGTTATTACATTATTAATGCTTTTATATTATTATTATTTATTTTTTTATAACTGAAATTCTAACTTGTTATAATATTATAGAAATAAAGAAAATTTTTTAAAAAAAAACAAAATCTAATGAAGACAAAAATACAGATAATACCGAGGTAAGAATGATACTATTAGATTTATTAAATATTTAGGACATTTAGTACCTAATGAATTACTTAACTATTTAAATGTTCTAATAGATATAGACTATAGATACCTAATAATTGTAAATTATACAGGAAATTGAGAATGATTACTATTTATCTAAAGATATTGAATGAGAAAATTAGTGTTTCATTGTACTCTTACTGTTTTTTTTTAACTATACAATCATGAGTGTCTCCTTGTCGGTAAGTGAGTAATAGTACATCCCTATAAGAATATAGGAATAAATCTTGTAAATATTTATTGTGAGACCATTGAGATCCCCACCTGATGCTCTTAGGCTACTAAGGTGTATTGGTTGGGATATCGGTGGAACATTTGAAACGTGTAATTATTTTTATCAATAAACGATGTGGACGGAGTGTGCAGTAATGTGATAAAAGGCTCCCGCTCGGTTCTCGGTTCAACCATGAAAAAAAAAAGAATATAAGAATAAGTATAAGAATATATGAATATATTATGGTAGCCCTGCCTGTCGTATGAGGCTACCGAAAAGACCTGAAGATGGGAAGCAGCACCTTTAGTATTAGTTATAGGTGAATGCTAGGTAGCAAGTACAGCTATAACTAAATAGTAGTAGGCGTAAATAGAAACCATGATCACATAATGTCTGGACATAAACTAGCTCCTCATTTGGATGTCCGGGTAGGAGCTACAATGTAGAATACAAGCCCGAATGATGAGGTGCAAAATATAGGAAATTGGAATGTACAATCCATGCTCCAAGGAGAGAAGCTTGAGAACATAAAGATGGAAATACTTTGTGATCTGTGCACGAAAACTTCAAAATACAATTGCCGATATATATATATAGATAACCTAAAACTTGACCAAGTAAGCAAATTTCCATACTTAGTATGATTACAGCAGATGAGAAAGACACAAGATAAGTGGCAAATCAGCGTTCAATAAAAAATCTAAATTATCCTCGTCCAAAAAATTGAATCTTAATATTAGGAAAAGACTTATAAAAACATATGATTGTAGTATAGCCCTATACGGCTGTGAAACATGGATTATAAACGAAATCGAAAGAAAAATATTAGAATCATTTGAGATGTGGTGCTGAAGATGCATGGAAAAAATTAGCAAGATGGAATGAAAAAGTAACTAATATACTTGAAATAGTCGGTGAGGAACGCTTATTAATAGACTCGACTGGCAAGATAAGATGGAAAATGGTAGGAAATAACTTTAATAACTAAATTGAAGGGGTTAAGACATATAGAATAACTATACAGCACAATACTAGAGGGCATGATAGAAAAAAAAAGACCACCTGGGCGACCTCGCAGTACATTTATTGGACAAATCAAGAAAGATGCAGGAATTGAAAGCTATAGGATATTAAAAAAAATAGCTAGTAACCGTGAAGAATGGAGAAGAGTTACAAACCGACCTACGGGTTGAAAAAAAAAACTGAATTCAAAATTGAAAAAGACAATAAATTAAATCCAAATAAATTCTGATGGTGTGATTGACGAGTAGACTAAACAGCGAATACAATTGAAATTTCTTTTATAAACAAGAAAAAAAAAGAGCTATGTACTTTATAATGTATATCAAATAAAATTAATTTAATATTTAAATAATTATTGTTTAATTTAAAAATAAAATTTAATTTTAATGTATTCAATATTTATATTTTGAAGAATTTATTATAATATAGTATAGGTAATAATTGTGTAGAATTTTAAAGTAATATTTAACAATACATTTTGTGTATCTATATATTAGTTTAAGGATTTTTGATGAAATAATACTCCCAGGTACCACTCACCACTGTACTTGAAAATCTAAGTACTTTGTGTGTAAAAAAATATCTATCCCCCCCTATTATTATTTCAAGAATCTTCGGATAATCGTTTCAAAAAATGCATTGTGACAACAACTTTTACAATTAAACTTATTGGAAATCTGTTTATTTGGATGAGAAGAACGGAAACAATAGCTTTTAGAACAAAAATTCGCATTGTGATTTTTCATAGCATAAATTCGAATCATTGTTAAAAAATGTACTCACTGTAGTGACACAAACAATAGTTAGTGTATACAATTATTATTATTCTGGCCTTTGATAATAATTTAAAGTAGTTTTTAAATAATTTACACTATGTTACACAGTATGTTTGATTCTAAAATTTATTATTTTAGCAACTACTTCTTACCTTAATTGGTTTTAGTGAATAAACATCAAAAGCGTTTTTCAACAATCTAATTATGAGTCAATCACCTGTATTTAAGCCGGTGACCCATGTCATTTTCGATATGGACGGAACACTGATAGGCAAGTATCATAATTGTTTTATTGCGTCCATGATTCAATTTGTTTTATACTTTGTAATATTATATTTGCATACGGAATGACGTTGTATTTAATTATTATTTTATTAAAATAATGTTATTATACATATAAACAAAATTAACGTCTAATATATAATCTAATATTGAAATTTATCAATGCGATATATAGATATTGCTTTACTCCTTGTTTCTTGTATTTTAATATTTAACTCAATTAACGTTTCAAAATATCACTTAAAAATTCCAACTAGTTATCCACACATCATCATTAAATTTTTCAGCGAATGAGTAGTTTTTTTTTCTATTAGGAAAATATGTATTTCTACACATAAAGACATGACACGAGAATACTTTTTTTTTAAGCGGGGGGAGGGTTAAAATATGTGTTTCCCTTCTCCTGAAATTCCTAAATACGCCAGTGCCTTTACTGAAGTGAGAAACTACGAAGCATGCGTTTTCTATTTTCAACATTACGAGCTTTAATTTACTGCTCTGTGTACCTGGGAGAAATATTTATTAGTATTTTTTTTTTTATCTAAATTTTGAATAGCAATTAGTTTCGATAATCAGGTATTAGCGAGAGAAATAAGTGAACAATATAAAATATAAGTTTTTTACAGAAAGAAAGGTATTATAAAAGGTTATTCTGTTCTTTGAATTCACAGACTTCTAGCACAATTTGTAGAAATTTGTAACTCGTTGTCTATACAAGTAAATTATGAGTTTCTCCATAAAACAATTTAGTGTGTAAACCACTGAAGTATATTCTTCTATTCGCAACGGACATTTTTTATTTTTAAATATAGACACGGAGAGCATTCATAAAAAGACGTACAAGAAAATCGCTGCGGAATACGGCAAAGAATTTCCCGACGATTTACGCGGCAAGATCCTCGGGAGACAGGAATTTGACGTCGCTGCCTTAATTATCGATACGTTGAAAATTGACTTGACGCCTCGAGAGTTCTTGGATAAAGTTAACGCTATAGAATCGGAAGACTTGACAAAAGTAAAATTAATGCCCGGTAAGAATATTTCTAATAGAATGTAAAATGTATATATATAGTAAATGTATACATACGTCGTGTATAGACACTGGAAAACATATATTGGTGGTGGTGGTAGGGGGGCAAAACAGTTGACTGTTTCCTCATCTTCTATATATGCACACATAATAAAATATTAAACAAGCATAGCTATGTAGAAAAATACCTCGATACTAGAAAGTTCTCTAATATACTCGGCCGATGTATACCGTCATGCGCTGTATGCAAGTTAGCTCGGTATACAATTATTTTTGCCATATTATGATGACATAAAGAATTACAAGCTTATCTCATCCAATAATGCACCTCACAAGGATTTATTATATATGGTGATTCTTAAGTTAATATATATGGTAAAATAATTATGTTTTTTTTTTTTTTAAATAACACACGTGGTTTAATAACGAAGATTACACACGTTACTTTTTTACTATAAAAATTTACATTTATGTAAAAAGAAAAACTAAATAAATACAGTCTCCAGCCGTGTAAGTTATAAAAAAAAGAAACAAAATTTAATTAACACAAGATATATCAAAATTAGTTATTAGTAGTACCGTAGACACCATATATTTAAGCTTTAAGAATACATTAAATAAGATGTATTATACTTGTTCATTAATTGAACTTAAGTCTGTGTAGGAAGATATTGAAAACACAAGATGAGTATATATTATGAGCATAAGAAAGCAGGTGGACATCCAGAACATAGTATGCGATATTATATAAATGCCAAAAAGTAATTTATGGACATGCAAATAGTTTTGATTTACACGCAAATATAGCTCGTGATAACTCCGAAAATTAGCATGTAAACTGATTATTATGTCTGATTCGAATCTTGATGTAGAAAATCGTGAAAATTACCGATTAGTGCAAATCCAACTTATCCGCGGATCTTTTTTTAAGCATCGCAGCAGAAGGCAGTCTTGCATTTAAATCTTTTAATACATATCCGTTCAGATGTATAGTGAACACGTCGAGTTTATTTACCGATTTTTTGAATAAAATAATTTTTAAGCCCATCAAAATGTATGCCATCCCGGGAGATTTCACTGCGGTTTTTGTCGTACGTATGCATCGATCGAAATCAAGGACGTATGTTTTGAAAACTTTATTGTCGCCGTGTAGGTATTTATAAATGCATAATACGTACACGCGTGTTGCGTATTACGTATTTGCGTACACTCGTATTAGTCAATAGTTAAGTTGTTTTTAAACTCACAATGTGTGGTCGACGTCTCACGGCCGGTCTCCGCGAGATTTTGATAGATAGTATACGTGAAGTTGAGAATATAAATGTTGTCGGTACAGGAAGAAACGTTGTTTAATTTTTCCGGCCAATCGCGTCATTATAATTATAATAATATTTATTGTCATGTATGCATAACCGTTTGACCGATGGTTTTCGTACGTTGGTACACAGCTTGGGTACGCCAATTATTCTATTCGGCTGTCAAAACAATTTATGACAATTAACTGTTACGAAATGTCTGTTGATTCTGTAATATTCTCGTACATTCGCATCACTGAATCCTATGTAAATATATAATATAAATATCATAAGTATATGCTATTAGCTTTGCGAGTGTTTTCGTTTAATTGACAACTACAAGACTATATTACTCGTGTGTAGTGTTCATCATTAAAAATGATTAATAATATAGATAAATAAACGTATTTCCGTTTTAGAAAATGCTCTTGGTCGTCATCCTAAACACACCTTTGATAATGTATTATAATATGTACAAAGACATCCGTGGGGTACTTGATTATGTGTTTGTATGTCGTTTATAGGAGTTGAGGACCTCTTGGAGCATTTCCGAAGGAACAGCGTACCTATGGCCGTGGCTACGAGCAGTTCGATGTCAAGTTACCGCATGAAGACGAGTCACCTGCAGGACTGTTTCTCGGTATTCAATCACGTGGTGACCGGTGCTTCGGACCCAGAAGTAAAGCACGGCAAACCAGCGCCGGACATATTTAAAATCTGTGCTTCCAGGTTTCCGGATAATCCTTTGTGCAATCAGGTTAGCACATACAATTCCTTGGTCCGTACTTAGGCTTTAACATCCAGGACCTTGTCTAGTGTACACCATTCGTAACAGTTAATAACAATAGTATATACAAATAGTTACAATACAATATTGTATACATTGTATATTTTATCTATGTATACAGATTCCGGTTGATCTAAATATCGAACATGTTCAAGAAGTCGAAAAATTCGAAATTTCTATTTTTATCGCGCTTTATTAGGCATACAATATGAGAGTTTATTCGATGGGATTATGCTCAACTAATTTGACATGATGAAATCTATTATACTTTTAATAATCGTCATAACCCTATTAGGTATTTGATTGACACGAAGATTTTTAGTAAACATCAAACATATCTATTTAGGTTATTATATTATACCTATAGACTGTGCGAGGGGTTGCAAGGGAGTTAACCTGTATTTATCTAGCTTTACAAAAAAAAAAAAATTTAAAAATGTAGGATAGAGGATACTATTATCATTATCGGATTTTCTATTGGCCTGCATTACTTTGTAGTCGTCGAAAAAACTAAAATAACCTTGTATTGTCATACAAGTTGAAAAAATATTCCCACATATTTAACTTAAATAATTTAAGCATTATTTAGAAATCGGCGTATATACCAGAGGTGGCCAACATGAATAAATTCGCGGCCCACACGGATAAGTACAACAATTCCAAGAACCAAAATGTTTATGGATCAATTTTAAATAATTTCATAATTTTTTATAAACTTATAACTTAAAAATTTAATTTAAAAATAATAATAATATGAAAAAAATTTATTTAAAATAAATTTTAATTTTATAAATATACGTGAGCTGCAAATTTGCCACCCCCGGTATATACTATGCACGATGCACTATACTTACAAAATTCTTGGCAGCGCCTATAATTATACACAAATGGTTCAGTGGGAGTGCGTTCTGAAGGTCTATGTAGACTGATAATAATTATTTTTTTCATTTACCTTATCACACTGTATATTGTATACAACAGCGGTTCACAATCATTTTGTGGCCGCGACCCCTAACAATGTCACCATGATTTTTAGCGACCATTTTATTATGAGAACATTAAAAAGTAGTGATAAATTAATATAATTATTATGATTAATAGAACGTTTTTATTGACAATCCTAAACTTTTACCAATTGTAATTCATAACAATGATTATTTGATGATATTTACAAAAACACCTTATTAATTATTTTATATATTGACGACTTTAAAAAGACTGTTTGAGAATCGCTGTATATCGTATACTACACAATACATAATATCTAGTTATTTTTTGTGTTTTTTCGGCAATCCTAATCTACGCAATCCGAAGTGACATCTAACATATCTGATTTTCTGTTGACATTTCATTTTATGCACAAATGCAGTAGAGTTGATATAATAGTAGAAAAAAAATCGATTAAACGATGAATTTTGATGTGCTTGAAATGTCATTGATCATAATATACTTAACACCAGTGCTCGTCTTGGCGAAATCAAAGAAGGGTGACTCCGTTTGCTTTAAAGGAAATAGCGTCCCCGAGACTTGTTAAGCGTTATACTTATAATGTATGTAATAGTAGGGGGACGCTAAAATTTCTGTAAATTAGTTGGGGTCCTCCTGCGTTCCCCCTCAAATCGAGCATCGCTCAACACACTGATAGCTACAAATATACATTGGACTGTAATTTGTATAAAAAACCTTACCCATTGCAATGCACACATGTAGTTAATACTACATACATACTATATTAATATTATAATATTATCTAGTGTTTGGTGTTCGAAGACTCGTCGAATGGGGTGACCGCAGCGGCAGCTGCAGGCATGCAAGTAGTCATGGTGCCAGATTTCTCGTCTGCAGACAGTCAGAGCCGGGCCAATGCCACCCTCGTCTTGGACTCTTTGGAAGACTTTTGCCCAGAAATGTTTGGGCTACCACCGTACTCGATTGAACTTTACCTGTAGCCCGGCGGCTAAGCTAAACATAATCGATTAATACATTTGTAGAATAATAATAATTTTAACAACGTTGAGTGTGGGTTTCATTCTTATGGTTAAACGGTTCATAGCGTTTATAAATACATTGCATTACCATTCGAATATTTTGTAGAACTTAATATCCGTTAATGACTGTTTACTACACCGTTATTATGTTTTACATTTGTATATACTCTGCGTCTTTAGTATCTATTTTTCTTCTTCTCCTTCACCTTTTCCCCAACTATTTGGGGTCGGTGACCTTTGTTCTAAACTTCCACTCGTCTCGATTTTCAACAACCCTATACACGCACCAATAGCCTTCATATCATTCTTAATCATCTCCAACCATCTTTTTTTTGGTCTTCCTCTTCCTCTTTTCCTTTCAACGTTCATTTTCATAACCACTCAGTGCCGTAAAAACCAGGTGTGCAAAGGGTGTATTACATACAGGCCCCGTGCCTCGAACTATGTATTATGGGGCCTTAAAAGGTCAAATGCTCAAAATCGTTGATTGTTATCGTTAACGTGTTTGGCGCAATTCAGTAACGACCCTTGGTTTTGTACATTTTAGGATATTGGTATTGCCTATTTGCATACCACTTCATACCAAATCGTTGCTTAACCATAAAGGGGTCGAATTTTTGGATTATTATCAACTGAAGAATCTAATCTAATTCAACATCGCCCAATTAATTAAATTTCTATTATGTTCGTTATACACTATAACTAGTTTTGTTTACCAGTCTTAAATCTCTCTTTTGTTCAGAAAACCAGTTGCAACAATGTGACCTATAACCGCGATACAAACATTCGCGGTTGAAAGGATCCATTGTATTTGTTGTATGCTTAATTTTAAAATAATACAACTTTTAATTATTGTACATAATTTAATAGGTGTTTTTATTATAAAACGATAGCTGTGAGCTGTGAGTGAAAACTAAATTATTTACATCATACGTCGTGGACAGTTCCTACTGGCTATGCTTTAATCATACCTATTTAAATGATAAAATAATTTTATATTAATAAAATATACATTAGTACCGTTTTTATTTTTTTTTTCAAGAGTTCTATAGCTGTTTACATCAGGAGTTATTAATATTTTAAACGGTAAATCATCGCACCATATAAAAGTGTTCAGCAGATAAGTGCTATTCATCAATGATATTGATACCGTGGGTCAGTGGCGTATCCATGGGGGGAGGTTTAGGGGTCAGAACTCCCCCCCCCCATGAACCTGAGATGGTAAAACATCTCTGTAAAAACTTGGTAAAACCAAGTAAATACAATTATTATCAACAAAATGTAATTATTTCCTACATTATGTGAAAATATACCCGAAAATAGCACTATAAACACTAAATTAGCAAAATAGCAATAAAACCCGTAAATATGCAAAAAATAGCAAAATTAAATTTTGTTTATGATATCCGAGCAGTAAGTAACATATTTGTATCTTACTTTGGATGTTCTAAGATGAACCAAAAAAAATATGTATTTGCTAGAACTTCTGAGCCCTGGTTATTAGTTAATAGTTGGTCGTTGCCCGTTGGTGTCTCACTGTTTTACTTACTACTCGTTTATTCGTTTATATTTGACATTTGTATTCCATTATATTTATTTTATTTTAATTTGATATAATTCTAAAACGTCTAAACATTTCATTATGGTAAGATATTTTTAATTTAATTTAATTTATAGTATACCTAAGTGATTGGACAGAAAATATTCTAATATCTAATATTTATGTTTCTAAATTGTTATTATTATTATTATTATTATTTATTATTAAAGGCAAATTTTTTAACAAATAAGCAAACTAGAAAAATTAATTTTTTTTTTACCCGAGTCAAACAAACTAATGTCAACCAGACTTAAAAATATCGAGATCAATACAAATAGTAGTTAAAATGATAGTGATAAGATTAAATATATATAAATTTGCTGAACCCCCCCATCAATAAAAAGTTCCTGGCTACGCCACTGCCGTAGGTAATATTTTAATATTTACGAAATTAATGTTCAAAAATAATTAACCGAAAAATCCGTAATATCGATATTATTGATTTGAACTAGGAAAAATGAAGTTTACGGACTATCTTGCATAGATGTGTTTAGACTGTGGTGCCCGAGGGGGCATATACATTTTTTAAATCATGAGATCTAGTTTTTTTTTATAGATACCTATATTTTTTTTTTCAATATAAATAATAAATATCTCTATATTTATTATTTTTGTTAAAAAACACGCTATGATATACTCGTACTACTGGTAATGTCGGTACTGAGTACAGATCGCACGACTTTTTTTTCATCGGGGCATGATTTTGTTAGAGGTACAGTCCACCAGGGAGGATAGTACCCACTTGGTCCCTCCCGTAAACACGTCTATGCCATTTGTCGTAACTACTTATATTTTATATTGTCAAAAGTATTTGCATAATATATTATATCCTAGTTTAGACCCAATTAGTTGAAATCTCTCAATCGGACGAGAAAGAACAAACATTTTTTGCAGAGAATATCTTGAAAATTAGTTGAAATAATTGATTTTCGATATAGAAGTGTAGAAAATGAAGACTTTGAAATGAGTTATCGTGATTAAGTTGAACTGCAAATCGATACCGGTATTTTTCCTATATCGTGATATGATAATAACGATGTTTGAAAGGTTAAAAGTATATCGTTGGCCAAACAGTATTTCAGACTTGTAACAAACGTGCATATTAAAGTTATTTTTATAATTTCCCGTAATTTTTGTTAATTCTTAATTGTATGCAAGCTGAGATATATATTATTTGTATATTTATGTGTTGCTATTTTCTGTACCACATTACCCTTCGAGGGTGTAGCTAAAATAAATAAAATAAAATAAAATAAATAAATAAATAAATAATACGAAAATCGTGATGTTTACGTGTGCCAATCAAAATGCATATGATGTACATTCAATGTAATAATATTGATTGATGTACGATTAAAAATAAATTAAAGTTCTAGGCGCGTGGGTCATATCTTATGGGCGAACACCCATCAATTTAATAATACGATTTCTCGAAGCAATTAAAAGTCATTGCGAAAAACGACGACGACATACATTGAAATATAAACGTGAAAATACTTCATAATTGTTCGCAGATCAAAACGCGTTTGTTGTGTAATAATACGTGTGTTTGTGTGTGTGTGTTTGTGTGTGTGATGTGTTCGCATAACGATTTTAAAGTCGTACTGTAAATAAAAGTAAACGTGTTGACGCGTTACTATGTAAATACAAGATGTATCGTCCAATTTCTATCACACAATGTAATTTTCAGTTCATAAGCGTGACGCGTTCGGGTTGTGATGTAGAAACAGAATTCGATTACAGTTTATATATTTACTAGTTATTATTTGATTACAAATTTAACACACGTTCCCTGAGGCGACCATAATATTATTATAAGTCCTAATTTACAATACAATGTGGTCAACCAGCAAATAATAATATTATTATTATGATATACAGAGCAATATCGTCGTGCGAATTACTCTAATGCAGTAATTATTTATACGAGTATATATTTTTTTCGAAATACAAGCAAAGCCCAAAGGTATACGTAAGAAAAAAAAAATTTGTATAGAAAATATAGTGCAATAATAAAAGAAAGAGTGAGTTATCAATTTCATGAATCAAAGTGATGTAGAGAAGGAACGATCCGTGGTTCGCAGAAATGGGCAGAGCATAAAAATAACAAGAGGAGAAAAAATGAATATGGGAATACTAAACTAATGAATGGGTACCTCTAATGTGAGAATATTTTAAAGTTTATGGACGAAACTAGTAGTTCACGGGGTAGTCGACAACGTCAGAAAGAAAATTGGAAAGAAAGGAAAGATTTGAGCAAGGGTTAGGAGTTGTGGTGCTTGAATAACAGGTGTGTAGCAGATGAACGAAATATTACCAACAGGATAATAATAATAATAATAAGGATCAGGTAATTTTTTTATATTTTTATTAACAATTCCGATCTGCTTTATTCTTGTTAAGGTTTGGCAGTAGTTAATTCAGATTTTAAATTAACGTTTTTGAGCATAATTTCTTACACACATCCTACGTATATAGAGTTAGTGCGTGTAATACGGGTTTGCGGGTGAAAATAGAAAGACGATTTTTGTTCTGCGATTCTGTATTGTTTTAATAATACGGGCTTCTTACAACAACAATATAATCATTAAATTGTCCACGTCGCTTCGAAAATTTCAAATGTATACCTATAGTATTTTACATTAGACCTTAACAGTAATAAATATTAACATCGCGCGCAGGATAAATCTGCGTTTACTGACGATGCGCTTCAGCGGATGTACGTAACAGCGTGGCGTGGCATAACATAAGTATAAAAAAATTAAAAATAAGAAATAAAAAATAAAAACTTACACCTAATAAATATTAACACTAATAATATACTGTAAATGGTACGTGTATAATATTAGGTATTACGTGTGAGTACACATGATAAACATTTAGGGAAAGAAATAATCGTAAAGCTAAGTCGAAGTTATGAGTTATGACGGCCTTGCGGGGAGAGTTCATTTGCGGTTGGGCGGGAACAGCTGATCGTAAGGGACCTCCAGGAACACTTGGTTGAGAATGGGTCTGGTGATTTTCTCGAAACCCTCTTCGGCGTACGGCATCATGATTTGGAATATGACCCGCCAGAATTGGTTGGCGAAAGTCAACGCCATTTGGCCTAGAACACACGAATGGTGATGACCACATGAACAACAATTATTGACAATACATGTGCGTAATATTATTGTTGCCGCGTGCGTCCGCTTTCTTTTCCTCGCGCGTACGCGTATTGTAAATAATATTTCAACACCGCGAACGGACACGCGACAGTAATAATAAACAGGGACGGCGCTAGGGGTTAACCTCAGTCGGAGCTCCAGACTTCGCGCCTTACCTTACCAATATTACAAAAAGTAAAATAAAATAATAATCGTTAGAACTTGATCAACAAGTGTAAGTTTACGGATTTATCAATATTAATTGATTGACCGCGTGCGGTTTTGCATGCATTTGTAGTAAACATTAATTACTTTTACTAAGTACATATTTCAAAATATAGAAATTTATTGATAAAGTCACAAGGGAAGTTGTTTAAAAAAAAAAAATGTATTTAAACCAATATTAATATAGGTACTCTAATGGTAATCGAGTTATTTACACAACGTGCCAACAGTCGTTTTATGAATTGCGCGCAATGGTTTTCTATTCAAGTACATCAGAAATTATATGTTTCTCCCTACGTAAATCCTTGACCCGACATGGGATCAATAAGAAGACCATAACTTCTTTTCTATTTGCCTAAGGATCAGTTTTACTCATCACTATACTCACTCAGTTCGGGACTTCCGTTGATCATGTTGGTCGCGTATATTTTCATGTCACCGATGTCCAGTTTCATGCCAACGTCCTTGATGCGCATGTAACGTTGTCCGTCTACCTCGATGGCGTTACCTCTCAACAACCACGATCCGGTCACATCGTCTATACGTGAAAAATGTGGGAAAGAAAAAAAAATCCCCCAAGTTAATATTATACTTTTCCATCTGATATCGCGGTCTCTTGTTACTTACAAGACGTCACGTTGAAGACCCCTTTGCCCATGATCGGAATCTGACCAATCCTTCCCTCGCCCTTGAATTTTCCGTTTGATATCACTTTTGGCATGTAAAAGTCCACTTCCAATTCCAATTTTTCCGGATCTTCGATGATGGATCTGGAACACAACGTTTTTACTTTTACAGATTACTGCCAAAACGCTCGCCGTTTTATAAAAATATATTTATTTATTTAATTGATTAAGCGATCCGACTTAAAATAGAAAACATGAAATATGAAATTGAAAATAAGTGAAATAAAAGAAAAGCAATATATTTGGCAATAAAACGGTAAGGACCATACCAAGTGATTTTTGTCAATAATGTTAATCTCTCAAATCTCACCTGACATCGACGATTTTGATGGAACCTAAACCGTAGTCGTAAACATCTTTGAACAACGCTTTTCCTTCGAGTTGTGGTGATTCAAAATGCATCAAATATTCGTTTAAGTAGAATGGATCCAAAGAAGTGACGTTTAGCTCAGGAATTCCCTCTGGAAATTGTACGAAGAGTTATTAATTTAATTAAATTCATTCATTTTGTGATTCGTGTGAATCATATTATGTGCTACTACTATATTATTATATTGTGCCACTGTACCTTTGCTGAATTTCGGGATCAAGTATTGAAGAGTTTTCTTCAGGCATCCATTGAAGTCCTTATCGTTTCTTTTACACGGGTCCGTGTAAGTCGCTACAATAAACAATAATTTCATATAAATTCGGTAACCCGCAAAAATTATATTACTAAGATATATATAGGAAGATGTTTTTCTCGTAAAGTAATGAAATATCATGTATTCATGTGTGTGTATATCTTTTAAATCAAATATTTAGTCTAACGATTTAAAAATAACACATTTATTACTTTAGTTCACGTGGTGATTACTCATTTTTTTGTTAGATCATTAATTTAATCCATTGTTATTTTTTTTATATTTATTATAATATTATCATAGACGATGCGTGTAAAACACTAATTCATTTGGTTATTATATAGTTGCTGACCTTCAAATCGACTTCTAGTACGCATCGTATCATTAGTAGAAAGGACGTACAACACATTGGAGTATAATTATTCAGGGCTATACGATTGAAAAACGAATCTGTTTCTAAGTTGTTTTCTGACGTACGTAGAGTTTCCTTTACGTAATATTCGAAACAAACATAGTTTTTAACAACTTACAATCGCGGACAGGTTTGTTACAAACGCGTTCGGCTTATGCCAGAACTAAAAGGGAACAGATCTGTTTTTTAACTAAATATCATGAACTCTTGCGTTATATACTATATTATGTTGACAAATAACTTTTACTCGGTGTTCACTTTCGAATTGTATACATTAGCTCTACATATATTTATATGTGTCAGTATATCCACCTACTTAATGTTTTTGTTCTTATTCTAATTTTTTTCTCTTTTTGATCTTGTTTGACCCGCGGTCATTGATCCGGTCTTACTAGGTTGTTGTATATATGTATAGAATATAGATATATAACGAAAGTGTTACGCTACCTGTAAGATATTTATTCATATAAAAACTACGGTGAAACCGTTAATTTTATTTTTTTCGTTATGAAGTATTATGGATATTTTTGGTGTACATATATACAATGTATATTATATGTATATTATACATGTAATATCAGTGAATGTGAAATTTTCTCATGTGACAACAGCAGTGCGTTAATGCGTTTCAGTGGATTTTTATATTGACCGGTACAGTGTGCGTGTTGTTATTATGTCTATACTATATATATTATGTACTATAAATATATTTTTTCTACTTATTCATTATCGTTAGGTTAGATTCATAGATTCATTGTCGTTTGCAGAGAAAACTCTATGAACTCTCTCTCTCTTTCTCTCTCCCTCTTTGGTTATAGATTTCAAAAAGCGATATCTGAGAGGAAAACGTAAAAAAAAGGATGTCAATTTGTCGCCTCAGTTGCGCGCCAATTGTTGTTACGAGATAAACATCTCAAACGAGTCGATCCTTAACGTTTCAACCTTATCGTTTGTCGAATATAATACTATTGTCTTTGGTTCGTAATACGTTTAGATGAAACGCGTGAAGAAATGTGAAAAAAAAATGTTCAGAACAAATAAAAAAGATTTCTGTAGCTTTCGTTTAACTATATACCTACCATTAATTTCTCTATATTTAAGAAATTTCACATATAAGTTTAAATGTTATACTTTACACACAGTTTTGGATACTATCGACACAATTCTGAACTGTCGTTATGTAAATTGAATAATATCGTGTTTTACTTTGTTGAGTTTGAATATGTAAGTTTTACATTTAAGCTATAGTAATTAGATATAAAAACAATGTTAGTTTTTAGGAAATATTTTTTTACAACATTTTTTTCGTTAATCATTTACTATTTAGATTAATTTTAAAAGAAACGTAATTAGTTTATTAGGCTAATATTTGTGCAACTATGTCAAGTACACTATTTTTAAAAACCAGAATTCTAAAGAATTGTGTTTAAATTATCGACATTTATGTAAAGACAAGGTGACTGTATACAACTTTAGAGAACACGTTTTATATAACCTGTGATTCAACTTTATATAGTCGTATAAACTACAAAAAATATAATTTATATATTTAAGTTATATACATTATGGTAATTAATATAATATATATATTATAAACACTACATCATATATTTAGCTTTAATAAATATTTACACTTTTAAGGAGAAAAATCACTTTATTGGTACATACTGTTTAAAACTGCTGTATTCTTATACCTATACATAATGTCAATGACGAAATAATTTAATTTCACTGATGTTTCATAAATCAAATTAAAACATTAATTATTAATTTATTATTAATTAGTAATCATGCACGTTTAATATTTTAATGACTTCAATGATTTAGGAAATAATAACACATAATTATTATGAATAAATCTTATTGCAGCTGAATCGGTAGCTGATTCTTTTGTTTTAAAGGTAATTTCATATTTTTGTTTTTGTTCAATTAGTTGAGTTCCAACAAATAACCTGAGTTTAAATGTGTCGAAAATGGAATATTGTTAAAGATTTTTAACAATATTAATATTAATTGTTTTAATGGAGCAACGGAAAATATATTTGAAAGAATTTAATATATATTTACATAGGTTAGGTTATAAACATAAGCGTAGAGAACAAATTATATGAGTATAATAACATTGGACCATGAACATTTTTTTATCCACAAATATTAACATGATTATAGTTATTAAATATATTAATTTCTTCGGATCTGTCCATGTCAAAAAAATATAAATGTCAACTTTACCTACGTGATATTTAACACAATAAGAGTGAGATGTTGAGGTATGATTGTATAATTAAAACACTAGGTAATATGCGTATCAAATTGATACTATATATTGATACTTTATATTGATACTATCAATATAAAGCGATTTAATGTTATAATAAAAAACGTTAATGACCAATTAAATATTAAACTGCAAACGATATATTTCACTGTTTTATATTGACCTACGTCGATTATCTTAAACTCTAGTAATAATATTTGTCTTCGGTAAAATTTATTTCTTATAAACACTTACATTGTCGAATATTATACGTTTTAAGTACGTATACACCGGGGTTTCAAATTTTTGTATTTTTTATTGTTCTATTTTGTTGTTCTATAATGATTATAAGGACGAGTTGTCATCAGAAAATCGTACAGCAAACCGTGAGAAATCACGCGTCGCTGCGTAACATTATGTAATCATATAAATATGTCTTATTTAAACGTCGTATACATTTTATGTTCCGACGGAAACACGTTCATTTAAATAATCGACGCGAAACGAACTTGAGGAGACGTCTAGGAGTCGTGTAGCCAACGCGATTTCTGATCAGCTTGCATAAGTACGAGTAAGGATGGTTATTCGATGTTCGAATACGACTATCGAGAAAGCGAATGCTAACAATCGAAAACGCTTCGTAAAAAGTTTGAAATCGCACGCCGCCGTAAAGCTTTTCGACGGGACCGGGTAAACAGGAGTTTCACGTGGCCGCGTCCGAGTGATATTATCGTGTTGTTGTGTTCGTTTGCTTACGGGACACGCGTTATCGGTTTCGTGCAACAGACCAGCAATTTTTTAAGTGGATTTTCACTGGACGACGAACCATTTTAGAACAAACATTACGAGTTAGTCCGTCGCACGTTACCTAATCGTTTTGTTTACATCGTTGGAAAAAAAAAAAAAAACTTTCGACAGCCGATCGGGTTCCGCCCGGGTCTTCCGAAGTACCACCCCGGGCCGTTTTCACCCGCGGTGTCGCCCGGTCGGCTAGCGTAAAAAAATTGCGCACCGTCAACGGGTGTACTTACGTAGTTCGGCGCCGTTCCTGATGATGGCCGCCTTGGCGATCGCGGCGAAAGCGACCAGCAAAAGCACGGCTGCGGCGTGCATCGTGTGTGTGTGGTGCGTGTGACTCGGGTTCTCTCGTGGACTCTTTACGTGTGCGTGTTCCGTGCGCGGACGACGGACGAGCAGTACGCGATCCGACGGGCTCCGAGTGCGCTTTATAGACGAACCGGGGGGAGGGGAAGAGAGCGCGTACGGTTGCCGGTGTGGGCAAGATCACGACGGGCACCACGCGCCAAGAAACGATGATAAAACGATTGTTATTGTTGTTATTGGTTTGATTTTTTTATCGAGAGAAATCGTACGGTGTAAGAAAGGCGGAATCAAAATTTATTTTATCATTAAACTGTTAATGTTTACGATTTTCAGTGAACGCTCCTCGGAAGGAAGATAGAAAGTGCGATGCGCTTTGACGGGCGGCATCGGACTGGTACTTAAAGGGCTCCGGATGTATGGGGTACATCACGTATGTTTCTTCGGAACGGTCCCCATAAAATGTCAACTCATACTTATAAACAATACTTTATAATATTTATTTATTTTTTTAATTATAAACAAATTGTACGATTGATTTTTTTTTTATATTAGTAATTTTTGTAAATCACTTAAGGTCGCCGTAATTAATACAATAAGAAATTATCATGAAAAAATATCATTTACAATCATTTTATAATTACAATTACATTAAAATTTCTTTTTGTATATGTCACCGGCAATATGGATAATTCAGGTGTTTTGAAAAATGTCTAGGCATTATGTAAATTGCCGACCCATTTTAAGCAATGTAAATAAAACATGATTTTCAATATTATTTTACATATAACCAAGGTATTTTATAAAATATATAGACATTATGCAAAATGCCAATTTTTTTTAGGCAAAGAACAAAACATTTTATTTTATGTTACATTACATTTAGATTCTTATAATTATAATATATTATTACTCGCATTACAGATAAAATTTAATTTTTATCTATTATTACATTATTATCATTATATAAATATTTTACTTAAACTACTATTTACTTATTATAATACGTAGTAGGATCAAAAAGTTCCCGGAATTTATTTATAGAAAAAAAACTATATTTCTTATCAAGTATCTGATTATTGGAATTAAAAGTAGACATTATTAGCCATCTAAAGGTTTAGTTATTAAAAGTACATTAGTCTCATGTGAGCCGTAATTGAGTCCATACGAAACTGTGTTTACACATTTTTTTAAAATGTCACAATTAATGTCACAACGCGCTAACATTAAATTTTGTTTTAAACTTGGAAAAACTGCCGCAGAAACGCTCGAATGCTTGAAAACAGTTTATGGTGATGAAGCTTTAGAGAAAACAGCCATTTATGATTGGTTTAAACGGTTCAAAAATGGCCAAGAGTTACTTGAAGACGAAGAGCGGAGTGGCCGGCCGCCAACTTCAAAAAACGATGAAACAATCGAAAAAGTTAAAAATTTGGTGCAATCAGATCGTCGTTTACACATTCAAGATATGGTAAATGTATTAGGAATATCGTATGGTTCAGTTCAAAACATTTAAAAAGATGATTTAGGAATGCGGCGCGTTGTTCAAATTGCGACAATTTGAAAAAATGCATAAACACAGTTTCGTATGGACTCAATTACGGCTCACATGAGACTAATGTACTTTTAACAACTAAACCTATAGATAACTAATAATAGTCTACTTTTAATTCCAATAATCAGATATTTGATAAGAAATATAGATTTTTTTCTATAAATAAATTCCGGGAACTTTTTGATCCTACTACGTATGTTGTAGAAAAGTGACATGACATTTTGAAGTGCATACAATGTTATTTTTAAGGCAAATACACTTTTTATTTTGACACTTTGAATTACAAAACACATTTTAAAAATCCTTGGCCAATTCTTGTGGATTGAATTTTTATCAACTCATTATACTGTTAATCAAATAAAAAACTAGTATTAGTGGCTAAATTATTAAAAAAATGTTTTAGTTTGTTATAAAAATTTGACTTCATATAAATTGTAACAACACCATACGAGACACGAAAATGACGATATTATAATAAAATTATTAGTACGTTCAATATTGTACCTCAGAATTAAAATTATAGTAGTAAAAGAATCTTTATTGCGTTAAATTGTGCACGCACATTTATGATAAACGGCAAGTAAAGTCGTTGGTAAAAGGCGATGACCAATTTTGTTTATTTTCATCATATTGCCTAGTCCACGTTTGGCATTATACATAATACCTAGGCAAAGCTCATATTATGTATACTGCCGAGTAATTTTTAGAATTTTATATAGTGTCGAGGCATTTTGCAAAATACCGGATTATCCATATTGCCGGTAACATGTACAATTTATATTTATATCATATACTTGCAATCATTATTGTGATGATTTATATGTATTTAGAAATGAAAGCCTATAGCCAGGCTTCCACTGTTGTCGGGAGTGTGGCGTTCAGATATTGTTTTATTTGTTTTATGTGCGATGGTTCAGAGCTATATTCGGTGTTACCGCAGACTATGTATGTGTACGTGTAAGATTGCTCTTGAAGATTTCTGCAATACAATTGTGTCGATAACATCGATGTAATGGACAAAAAAAATAAATGTCTCGATTGCCAGACAAAAATATGTTTACACGCATCCGATTCTAATATATCTCACAAGCCATAAAACGATGGTTTTATACACGATGGTCCACACGAAACGTGTTGTTTAGTGTAATATATTTTTTGTTTATTGAACTGATAAAAGTTCTGAAATATATATAAATACGAACCGGAATATCTTATTCTTATTCGGTTCACTACGAACGTTATATCTTTTGTGCCATCCGCCACTGATTTCGTGTCAATAAACGCAGAAAGAAGGGAGAAGACATTTTTGTGCGTATCGGCGTACTGAAAGAAATGGAAACGATATTATCTAGTGCAACTATAGCCAGTGTATCCGTCGCAGCGCAAATGCTTCCTGACGAACGTGACCGTTGAGTCTTGCCCGACCGGGGAGTTTTGCCTTTTTTCTTTTTATTAATCTTAGTCCTCTTGATTCTCACCAAGTACGATAGAACAATGTAGTGAACGCTCGTGTGGTTAGTTCTTAATCGACTGCACTATATATTTCCGAAAGTGGTGAAAACCACACAATAAATTACAAGTGACGTGCGTGGTCGAAATAAAAGCCACGAAAAAATTGTTGTGTTCTTGCTGCAGCGTAGTAGGCTTACACATAGCATGTATATTTCGCGGTTTCGTACCGTTGCGTAGTCATAAAAGTGGCTTGCATCTTTTGCATTTGTGTGCCGAAATGAGACCGGTTTTATAAGTAATGTTTAATTTGCTTGCACAGAAAGTTCTACGTGTCTTATACGAAGCAGTGTACGTAACGGTCCGTTTGCGGTCATCTTTGAGTTCGTATTTTGTTACTCTTGCGTAACTCATGTGAAAAAATTAGCTTTTCAAACGCTCGTGGGTCACATCGCAGTCATTACGATCAGGCTTGCCATGGTAGGGAGGGACAATGGGACCAGTTTTCCCCTGTCTAAGAAAATGATCTCAAAAATGATTAAAAATACTAGGCGTAAGAAAACAAATTAAAAAATATTAAAATATACTGGCTCTAAGTTTTTTTTTTTATTGTTTTCTTAGCAACCGGCTTTTGAATATTGATTTAATATAGAACATCTTCACTTTTTCGATTTTCTTGATACGCATCGTACACATATTTTTTTGTCCGTACAAATCCACACTATTTTTCTATTGTACATTCCTTATTTAATTTTTTGTAATAGTAATTGGATTTCTGGTTGAAGTAAGAATTAACTTATTAAACTACATACATTTTTCAGGTATATTTTCAAGGTTGTTGAATCATTGTATTGGATTGATCTACCTCCTTCAAACCAAGATACTAGTTTAACTGTTGCAGCTTATATTAACATTTTTTCATTTAGTTTAGCTCATTTCACGAAACACAACTGTAGGTAGTATGGCTCAAAGTAAGTAAATGTTGATTTTAAGTTAATGAATTAAATAAACAAACATATTATGTAATGTATTTTAAAATGTATAGGAAATTGTAAATTCCAAACAGATACGGCTATCAGTAAATATAACCGTAAAAACCATAAACGCGATGAAGTTCTGGACGTGAGGGTATCGTCGTCTAGAGATGATGATGATATGAGGCGATTTGAGATTATAGATTCTGGAAGTAATAATGATGTAAGTAATTACAATTATGAAACATTCAGTGATTTTTGATAGAAAAAAAACATTTAAAAATGTACAATCGTAGATTATAGTTTGTGTTTTTATACGTTACAATTTGTATAATTCTTTGTTTGCACTGATTAACATTTATTTATTGATGAGTATTGAGAACTGTTTATAACTAATTAGACCAACATCGAAAAATTAAAATTAATTAATTCTTATTGGATATTATATTCACTATGTATAGTACATAATATTATATTTAAATGTAATGTTTTATTTAATTTTTAAATATTAGAATGGTTGGGATGTAAATGATATGTTTAAACAAAATGAAATAAAATATGGTGTCAAATCAACATTTGATGAATCATTAAAAGATTATACGACTGAAATAAACAGAGATGCATCAGATTTCAAGTAATAAACATAATTAAAATTACAAATTTAGCCAGGTTTCGTTACCGTTATTATTTTAAGTAGGTATATTTATCAATGGAAATTTATAGAAAATGATGTATTAAAAATGTTTATGGCTATTATTTTAATATTAATGTAAATTACAAATTAATTAATAATCATAGTTATTTTATTTTTTATTACAAAATATTTGTACGATACAATATTTTTCTAGGGAGTTAGAAGCAAAAGCTGCTCATTTGGCAAAGAAAATTCAGAGGAACGCGATTTCCCAAAAAAGAGCCGAATTGGAAAATTGCGATGAAGAAGAAATGTATAGTAGAAAGATAATTTATAATTATTCATCACTATTCTTATTTAACTTAATCAATATTAATTGCATATACTATGGATTGATACAATTTTACTGCTGATTTACGAAAAAACGACAGTCGAAATAATAAATTACAAAGACCGGAATCTCAACAGTATTATAGTAATCATCGCTATTCTCAAAAAATTCAAAATAATCGATTCAAATATTCAAAAACTCCTATGAACGAATGGCAGAAATTTGTTTGTAGTTTAGAAACCAAAAATGTTCATCGAAACCGTGGACGATATATTCAAAATTACGATATTTTAAACGCATCTACACCACCCCAATACCAAGACGAAAATAATAATGGACCTTCAGTTGTTAATCATATATCTCCTGCCATCGTGATTGATAACAATAATAAATGTAATCATCTTAGTAATCATCGTTATTCCCAAAAAATTCAAAATAATCGACACAAATATTCAAAAAATCCTATGAACGAATGGCAGAAATTTGTTGCTGGTTTAGAAACCAAAAATGTTCATCAAGGTATGAATTCTAACTTTTGTTTTATTTTTTATTTTACTAAAATGTTTTTAATGTATTATGTGTTTAATTAAAACATTTATTCTTATAACCAAAACAAATCAAAATCACGGCCAACAGTTGTACAAGATCTGAATGAAAAAGTTGGTATTTCTAGATGTATAACAAACACTGAACAACTTGATATCGTGATGTCTTGTCCAGAGGTTAGATCTCAGATAATAGTTTCCTCTGATAAATGTGATCCAAAAAGTGAAATACCACCGGTTCCTATTAGTGGTAATTAATTTTGTTTCATCACAATAAATAAATAATCATAAGATTATGTAAAAATATATACATCAAATATATATATATGTCTATTCGTTTCTTTAATTTTAACATTATTGTATTAATAGATGATGACAAAAATGATCTCGAGAAAACCAGTACGGGTGTTACTGATATACAAATTCAAGAACACAAAGATGAATCTCAATTATTCTTAAATTATGACTTACAAAGTACTGAAAATGAAAATATTGTCGTAGACAAAATTCAAGAAAACGATGTAGAACAATCCATTATTGATTGTCATAATGGTGACTTAATAATCCAAAACAATCCTACTAATCAGTCGAGTTTGGATATTTTTTCTCGAACATTAAATGAACCACCATACGGAAAAGCAGAAATAATTGAAATGAAGAATGAAAAAAGTATTCGTTTCAAATTTAATCCGTTAGTTAAAGAATTCAAACCATTTAATCCACCGGAAACCAGTCAATTACCACCTACAACATCATCATACAACGTCGTCATGCCAGCTTTGATACTAACCCCAGTATACCATCAACAGGCGGTTCCATTTGCAATTATGCAACCTAGATATTTATATGGGTATTCGGAGTTTGTGATTGGTTTCGAACAGACACTTCTACCAATCATTTCCATGGTTTCAAATATTCCATGATAGGTGTTATGAATGTACTCGTGTACTTTCTTGTAAATATATGGTTTTTCTGTTTTGTTTTTGTATTAATTTTTAATTGATATTCGCCTTCGATATTGTATAGGTAACTTAAAATGTAAATTAAGAATAAAAGAATCCGTAAAAATTAATTTATCTAAATAAATTCCTTTAGATAACACTTTTATTTATCTAAGATAATATAACGGATAATTATTTTTTCAAAAAAAGAGACAACGAAGGTCAGTGTTTTTTTAATGTTACCGTAACCGATTTGGTAACCAGTAGGCGCACGGCGTACGGTCTCACGGTTTTATCGTACCTGTCGCGCAAGGTTCACAAGGGTACGCGCGAGCGGACGGCACGTGTACCGGGCTTAACCCTTTTCGATTTTAAATCGACCAGCGTCCTGCATGTCCCGTACCCTTTGACGTGCTTAGAGCGTTGCACACGTGTTACATGGTGCTGTGCTATCAAATCAGAAAACCGGTTGGAACAGCTGTTTTACAGTGTAACAGCACCTGCGAGACCGAGGCGATAAACCCAACGAGCCGACGTGAATGTCAGTATCGGATCTAAGTCTCAGGACAGGAGGTCGACGAGGTGTAAATACCAATTAAAGGCCCGCCATTAGACATTTCGACTTATAAATTCACTATTAAACGTTGTTGAATGAAATACAATTAATAAATATAAAAAAAGGGCAGAAAAAAGGCAAAAAAAAAAAACGAAACTGACAACTTCAATTTTAGATTTCGGTTTTGTAGGCCTCTTAGAATTTAAGATCCCGGTGCATTGCATTCCCTACACACCCGCTAAATTGGGCACTGGTACAAGTATGATTTCCCGGTGTTGGTTAATCGCTGCTACCAGATCGATTGCCGTTTTCGCTCGTCAAAATCAATGATCTAATGTGTTATTTTTTTAACATCTCGAAGAGTACCCAGAATAATAAAATGTATATTATAAACTTGTCGTCCAAAAAAACGTAACGAGTCGTACGCATTACATATGCGATTCTTACCCCCGTTCCAGTGAAGATATTTTAACATGCATTTTTACTAAGAATATATCTAATATATCTATCCTTGTTCTATAACAGTTAAATTGACTTGAAAATTCATACATAGTTGTCTATTTTTGTATGAACAGTGCCAATTTTATCGATTTTACCCTTTTTTTCTATTGAATTTTTGTGCATTTCCCACCTACTGTAAATTATCGTTGTACCTGCTACCATCGTAGAATACATTTTCGTTGACAAGTCAGCTATTCGAGTTCAAATGTTTGTTAAAATTTATTGATTTTGGATCATGGATATTCTAACGTGTATTTTTTATTGCTTTTTTACCTATCATAACACATATAATTTTGACCCCCCCCCCCCCCCCCTTGGGCTATTCCTGTGCACGGGCCTGCACCACAGTACTAGTATTTTGTAGTAAATTCGTATTTAAAAAATGGTACTCGGACTATACTCCGTCGTACACTGTCTTCGTTCATAATTTGTCGTTTTACGAATTTTAACCAACAATCCGTAACTTCGAATAATTGTTGAAAGTGTTTGTTAACTACACGTAGTTTAATGTATGACCTCAACGAATGTTATCGTTTGTCGTCGTATAATTAACCATCGTAATGCATTATGACCATCAAAGTTCATTCACATTATGCATTTACGTGCACGAACCATTTTTCATTTTCGTTCAACTCATTCAAGAATTAGTACGTATTGCGAAAATAATCGAACGTTAAGCAGTACGTATATTGTACAATGTGCGCCACGAGGATTTATTAATCTGAACGGTGCTGATATTGTTACTAGAGATTAACAATGTACACGTCAATAAATTCCTGTTCGATTACTGCTATCTACATGAAATACACGATTAATTTTATATAATGAAATAATACTTTTGAGATAAATTCGCACTTCCGTTGTACGTAAACGTGACACTAAGTAGTAACAATATAGGAAGAATTCACGGCGTTTCGAAAAGAAACATTTTATACGTATTCAAAAACTATGATACAGTAATCCGGTAACTTTCGGTAACTAACTTTAGGTTTGGTTTCTATGTAAGACCGGTTGCAAGGAAAAAAAACCGTTTCTAATTATAAACAAACATACTAAATATGGTGGTCAGCTGATCGTTAAGTATTTTGAAAACACAGTTTTTATAAGAGTACTGTATTATTATATAAGTCGAAAAATATATTTCAAGATGTTCGTAAGATTGTAAATTAATAATAGAAACACGTTAACAATAAACCAATTATTGTACCAGTGCCATATCAACAGAATATTGTTTATTCCAAACTCGCATACGTATAATTATTGTTGAATATTCTGATATATTTCATAGAGAACCTTCACCTATAATATTATAATATAATATAATATAATATAATATTATACATCGAAGACTAAATCCATCACCCAAACATTTAACACTGTATGTAAAAATATATTTTATGCAAATTGCGAAAAAGCTATTTCCAACACGTAATACGAGTATAGTTTAAGGATATGTATGCAATTTGTGTTTTGTTTGAAAATATAATTCGAGGACTGCGGTTCCTTGAAAAATATATATTATGCATAGTCATATATATTACGCGCGTTTAAAAATGTATTATTAAGAATTAACAAAATATGAGAAGTACCAAGGGCGTATCTGGTGTATCTGGTTTTCAGAGGTCTAGGAAAAAACAAACGTTCAAGCGAGTTTAAAAATCTATAAAATGCGAAGTTCACGATTCAATTATTTAGTTAAAATTGCGCTATACGTATAAAATTGTAACTATAGGTATAATCATGTTACTTGGATTCAATTGAAACTGTGGCCCACACGGGAATATATGTACATATTATTATATTTACCTTGTACTTACCTTCTTATATTAAAAAAAAAAAAAATACTTTATATATAATATATAAATATTATTGTATTATATATCATTATCAAAATCAAGTTCAAAGCTATTTAGCTGTATCTATATACTCTATGTAAACTTTTATTGGAAAATATTTTCAAATATCTTTGAAGAATTTCGAATTTTTGATAATAATAAAATAATATTTTTGTTTAATACGTTTTCTCAAGTTTGTATTATAATATGGAACGATAACAATGGTTTTCCGTCTGTTTATTTTATATTATTATACAAACTATTATACTAACAATTATTTTGCGTTTATGAGAATGATTTTATTCATTTTTTTATTTTATTGGTAATACAATAGGAGTATTGGGTATTGGGTTTGTCATGTTACCTATTTATAATGCATGTGGTCAAGTTTGGTTCTCGTATTTATTGGTTGAATACTATTCGATAAAATAATCGTAAATGTTTACATGATTTATCACGTATTCGCCTACAGTTTTCCATGTAGAAAGCGTTACAAATGCGTTCGGCTAAAAATGAGCAAGTAATATGATGCACGTGTACGAGATACGTTCTAGCTGATGTGCACCGCAAATATTAAATTTTTGCGGACACGTGTTCATTCGGACGATTCAAACGATTATACTGCTGCACGGGCGTTTGAAGTAATGTTAAACGGTATTAAATATCGAAAAAAACCGTTTTGTTGTTTGTCAGATTGCGCGTTGGTACGCGAACGACCAAGTCTATACGGCTTGTGACTTATACCAATGAAAATATTTTACGAATCATTCGTTTTCACCGTCGGCAGTCGTTATGTAGCGCGTTTCGATCAAATTATAATTTTTCAACCCGTTAAGTTCAGTATTATTAATAGAATTACCGTGCTGCTATTACTTCGGTAACATGGTCTGGTCATAAAATCGAACACGGCTGCACAGCTTATTAAGAAAGGGGCTCGGGAAAAAATTGCGTAAGCACTTAACGATAGCTAATGAATACACTTATTCAGGTAAGGAGTTGAGAGGGTGCCGGTCGTAGTCACTTCGTTTTTGACGACGGAAAACCCATTATTGTTGAATAATTTGTCGAGAAAAAAATAGTATTACAACGAAAATGTTGGTAACCATAAAATTGGAAAGAGTGAATTCATTGTATGTGGTGTGGGTGTACAATGTAGTAATAACATTCTTATAATAAAATCCGAAATAATACGAATTTCCGGTGTCGAACCGATCGATTAAAATGCAATGTATATATAACGAGTTTACGTTACGCGATGTTAACTCGCGGAACAATGTTCCTACGGCAAAGCAAATGGTAATAATTAACAATAATTTGTGCACGAGAAAGGTTTGATAGGTTATTTTACTGACTAAGTGTCTAATACGGGTTTCAAACGTGACATCGAAGCGTGCGCAGTCAATCGGGTCGCGTTGATTCCTATTTCGTTACTTTTACCGCGCTGCCCGTCCGCAGCAGCAAAACAGCACTTGTCGCGATTTTTACCGTACTGGTCACACCGCGTAACAGTCTTGCAACGACGTCGCGACGTAACAGTACAATGTAACGATTGCACAGATCGATTCCGATGTTCACGAGAACGGTCTCGGTCCGAAGATCATCATTAAACGTTGCACGGCTTGTCCGTCTGCAGTTGTTTTTCGTTTTCAATCGAGTACCGACCTAATATACACCGGTCCGAGCAGATATTTCGTAAAACCCTAGGAGAACCGCGTTTCTCCTAAACTACCATACAGCTAGGATTTTATTTTTGAGTAGGCAAATTCTTCCAATAATATTACTATGGTAAATTACTCCTTTTGATTCGTAGGTACCTGTTATGCGGAGGATAGACATATATTTGTGGGGGCTAAGCTCTCTCTGATTGTCGCTATCTTGACATTACTCGTTGTACACGTGCGTTATTTATCCGCTGGTCGATAATGACCCGAGCACCGTGATTAACAACGACACAACCGTCCCAAATGTTATCATTTCTTCGATACGCTAAAACACAAAAAGCCTCTTTCACACGAAGCTACCATAGCAGCACCATTCTTATCGGTTTACGCGACCAAATATTCTAAACTCGCGGCCAGAATAGTCGCGCCACCAGTTAAATTTATATTGTTTTGATATAAAAACGCGCATTCTATTAATCTGATCAACTGCGTGTGGTTCACGCGTACCTACATTGTTTTTAACGTTGTCAATATTTTTACCATGAATAGCAACCTCTAATACAGAAAATATTCTAACTGCGAATAAGAAAAAACAATTTTGAAAGAATTAAATAATTTATTTTCTTGTGAAGATAATACTTTACAAGACATAATACATTCTTAAGTAATTAAAAAATGTTTCTTCATATTTCCTCAAATCGTTATAGAATAAATCAAATAATCCTTCAGTAGAACGATCAGACAGTAGTGAGTGCATCAAAAACTACCTTTTTTTTTTTCGTCCACATATAATTTGACTGCACAAGAATGCTATACATGCTAGCTCTTTGACTTCCATTTTGATACTGTACTGAATTTTAATTTCAGTTCATGACGAGCTAAACACGTTTGGAAGCATAAAAGTGGCGAAACTTTTCTGGTGGCTTCGTATAAAAAATGCCTAAAACGCATCACGGTCCTTTCGCAGAACTGTTGCCGAGCGTTCTATTCGAATATAATATATGTTTATATTTATATTATTATCGTATTTATGTAAAATAATATTATCAATACAAACATTTCCATCCGCTGAGATCAGATAATATAAAAATTCGCTGAAATCATGAAAAGAAAAGAAATAGAAAACAACGAAACAGTTTTATAAGAAATATAACACAATAGTGCACGTAGAACAACTATAATATCAATGTAATAATATAATCTAATGTAACACTCCATAATCTTTATATTAGTAGATATACATTTGATACATTGCACTCGCCGAAGAGAAAAAAAAAGATTTAGAATCACATTTAAACTGTCTATATGCGTCTCCGAACCATTTTCGTGGAAACATTTTTCACCAAGTCTTATTCAACCGATCGATCTCTCGGTCGCGTCTAAACCACAGACCTACATATTATCGTTTTGTCCGCTAACCGTTCGTTCGTTTTCTTTTACAGGTACGAAAGGCGTTCGTCTATAGCGATGACTTGAATGCGATGTGCAGCCTTCCGAAGAATACGTTTATTTTTCGAACATGGAATACGTGTATTCGATTAAATTGGTAAAAGTGTACACTCGGAATAGGTATCTTAATAATCTTTCGAGCATTACCATTTTTTTAACAGCAGTCGCGTTTAAGCAATTAAACTGGGATTTTTAATTATTCACAAAACACCAATGGTTAAATCTCAGTAAGATAATAGCATAATTATTAATAACCGGTTTATTTCGGTTGAGTTCGGCGGGGCATAGACCGCCCGAGAAGTGAGGTGATTCAATTTTAGTGGACGCATTTTACAGGAAGTTGACATCGTAAAAATTGTATGATATTCAGATTTGTACAAAATTGTCAACAAATTATTATAAAACATTTTTTCACTATAAAACGTATTTGTACTCATATAAAAAATGTAATCGTTTATCGTATTATTAAATACTATGTATATATTCTTACTCAATGGTATACCTACAGATATTATACCAGTATTGTAGTAATTTATATATATATATATATATATATATATATAAATTATAAAATATCAACCTTAAGAGTTATGAATAATTATTATTGATATTATGATGACAATCAATAAAAAAAAAAACGTTGAAGGCATGTAGGTTTGTAGTTCGGAACAGCCGAACACTTATAATATTATTTTTCTGACGTGTAATATATAGTTTGTACGTACATATTGAAAATTGGCACGGTGCATTATGTATTGTTAACGAATACGTACCACTTACTTTACCCATGTAATGTAAAATACTCGTATGTTAGTGAAATTATTATCATACAATTTTGCTTTTAAAAACTTTCGCGAAATTTTACAAGGCTTCAAATTCTATGATTCTAGTTATAACTGAGACAACATTATTACATATATTTTTCAAATTGTTCGATGTTCCAACTCGAATTCATTTTAACAATTCGAAATAGAAATATAATACATTTCTTTGGATGATAAAAAATAAACTTCTTTCCAATAGTTTAATGCAGGTATACGGAACAAAATGATATAACAGAGTTGAGAATATACTATACAAATATGAAAAAAGTAACGAAAATTTAATTTGCCCGGCAGGAGGTTTATTACATATATTATAACAATATTATGGATGACCTCCGATATAATTAATAATATTACTTTGTAATGGACGTATTGTTTTAAAAGCAAGTGCCTACATTGTACGGCTGACTGCTTTGTGAAACTGTGAATTAAAATATAATTTCATTTATTATCTTGTACATAACTATTGAGCGAGACTTATTTTTTAGATTCGCAATTATGTGAAAAATTAAACGTCACAATGCTATATAATCAAATAGATCACATTGAATGCAAAAATAGTTTCATACTTTTTCACCAAGTTGTATTATATAACTTGAAATAAGTTGTTTTTACTTTCGTAACAAAATAGTTTTTACTTCATTCATAACATGTTTTTTTTTCAGTGAGCTCGATGTGTAAGATTAGAAGTTAAAAAGTCGATTTCAGAGTAGTTTTTTTTCTGCAGGTACTCATCAATTATAACCCTATTGTACACGAATAAATATATTTTACTCGTAAGCTGTATAGATGAACAGAATATTGTGAACGCTAGAAAACTATACTCATAAATACTATGAAACATGGAAATATAGTAATGTGGTTTGCCTTGACACGATACGCGTGCGCGTTTGTAAAGTCGCTATAGCAGTGGAAGAAAACCACGGAAGGATGTTACATCCAAACATAAATACCAGTAATAATACAAGAAACAAAACTTGTTTTACTTGTACTTAGTACGGTAGGATTTTAAGTCGCACAAACGAGCTAACAGCCTCCACGGGTTGACGGGTTTTCTACAGAAAATCATCAAAACGATCAAATTCGTCCGCGGTTACCGTTTAATTTTAAATTCAGATGCAAACACTGATCATATATAACAGATCGTTTATTTTCTCCGATGAATGTTATTTATTAGGAAATAAAACAGACCTTGAACGGAATAGAACATAAGTGAATGTTTTTTAACTGTAGGCTTTTATAACTATGTACATGGTAGCGCAGGATAACATCATAATTTGTTTTCTTTCTGTATATTTTCATCGTTCTGATATTGTTAATGGAACTCAAATATAATCACACTGTAAACATGATTGTGCAAGCAATTAGATGAAGTATACAGCGAAGTATAGTGAGGGTAACTAAGATCAATGATGTATGCTTGGTAATATCATTAAATTATTGACTTTTTGCACTTAATAAACACATTGTAATATTCAATAAAATATAATATTTGATATATAACAACAACAATTAAACATAATATTTATTTACATGAGTTGAATTTTTGATTTATGAGATTTCAATCTGTTATAGGATGGTTAATACTTTTTGCTTTATCAGTAACAACCATTTTGAGGAATACATCAGTTAGGAACAGATTTCTGATATGTTGTTCACAAGTTCTAGCAATGTTTCTAATACGTTGGCCTCTTTTGCCCATTATTAGCTTTTCTATCCTTGGTGTTTTGCAATGAATCAAGACTACAATGTGTAAATTACCTAAATATCATAATTTATGGAAAAAAAAAAAAAATTATAAGATATACACAAACATTTCTAAACATTTCAATTTACCTTCACGAGATATTTCATAATACTCTAATTCTACTTTTAAGTTATATGGAACTTCGTTGGGTAAATCATCTAATAATATTGATTCTATAGTACTCAAGACCAATTTGTAATCTTCTTTGTCAGTTATTTCATCCTTGGAAAACAACCATGGAGATGGCTTGCTTCTTTGTAACAAATATTCCTAAAAGAAAAAATTACATTGTTAAAGAAAAACTATGTAAAATGGATATTTAAAAGAAAATTTAAAGCTAATATAAGGTACACAGTAGATAATACTTTTCCTATAAAAATGCTTCAAATCCCCCAAAAATACTTTTGTTGAAAAGTTGTACACCACCCCTCTTAGGAAAAAAGTCTGGCGAGGATATATCCCACGTTCCCATCATATTATGTAATTTTGAGTTTAGGTAGGTAGAACATTTTTTTTAAAGAGGTTTAGCCCCCCCTCTCTCCCTCCAATAAATGCTTATGTGCTGAGCGTATATCCTAGAAAAAAATTACAAATACACTACTGTGAAGCACTAATATGTCGAATACTGCTCAAAAGTTAAGCTCACATGTGTATGACTAAGAATATAATTTTGTATAGTTCTAATTAACATTCATTATGAAAATTATTTAATATAAAATTGTACACGCCAATATTTTTAGTATATATTGATTATTTATCATTTTAAAAATAGGAAGAGAAAATAATATTTTTACTGTCAAGTTCTTTTTCAATTTTTCATTTGCTTACTGCAACATTTAAAATTGTTGGTTGGTTGTTATTTATTTTTAATCTGTCAAGTAGTAATAAAAAAAAAAAAAATCAACATATTGAAATTGGTTTCATGTTTCCTTACAATAATTTATAAGATCAAGTTAAATCCGAAATATACTAAATACATATTTTCCAATCATTTATAAACTTACAATAAAGATCAAGTAATTACAATATAGTATAAACAAACTTTTTAATATTAATAATTAAAATTATTATAAATGAGATTGATATTGAAACAGATATTGTTGCTTTACTTAGTTTTAAATCGGCTTAAATTGATGATTTTGCAAAATATTCTATAATGTAAACTGTAAATAGTAAAACAAATATTTATTAAAATAACTTACTCTTATATCTGATGAACCTTGGTTAAGAACAGCAGATATCATAAATACATCATTAAATTTGCCCCAACCTACAGACTTTTTTACTTTCTCTTCTAATCTTCTTTCTTGAACTTTAGATCTATTACGTTTCTCTTCTTCAGGTGTCAACATATATGGTTTTGGAATATGAAAATTGTTAAGTGTAAAGCATGTTAATGAACGTGCTAAATCCAACAAATAGATTTTCGATCTTAAAAGATCTATCTAAAATAAAAAGAACGACAATAAAGTTAAGTAAATATAATATTAAAATAATAAAAACATAGTAGTAAAATAGTGATTAGTTAAAAATTGATCAATAAATTTAAAATAATAACTTAGCTATGCAACAATAGACATTTATGTAAATTTTGAAATTTTAAAATTGCTTGATATTATTAATATAACTATTTATTTGTTTTTTCTTATTATATAGTAACTTATTTTCAGTTTCAAATTATAATTAAATTAAAGAAAATAATTATCTTAAACATACTATATTTTATGGTATATATATATTTTGTATGGATTTATGAGTATTAATCATTATATAAATAAAATAAAAATTACGCAAAAAATATAAAATAGATGTATAGATTAGATACAAATATAAAACATAGTATAATACATACAGTAACATATTGTGGAACTAATAAGGGAATTTCAAGACTCTGTATCCATTTAACTGCATAATTTATCCTAGACAGTAAACTTACCTGGAATCCTCATCTAAAAGCCAAACGAAAAGCCCTTAATTCCCGACTCCACCTCCTAAGACCATTACTTAAATCTAAAATGAATATAAATACCAAACTACTAATCTATAAGTCCTTACTCAGGCCACTATGGACTTATGGCATTCGATTATGGCGAGCCGTTAAACCCTCAAACACCCATACAATCCAAGCCTTCCAATCAATATGCCTTCGCCTAGTTACATCTGCACCCTGGTATTTAATCAACAATTCCTTCCACAAAGATCTTAAAATCCAAAATATTAACCAAATCTCCAAACTATACGACATCAGACTTCACAACAAACTTCAACAACATACAAATCCACTAATCTCTAAATTATCAACGAAAACACTCCTTAATAACCTGCGCCGTAAACTTAAAAGGCAATGGTGTAGAGATCTTCTTCTATAGTAAAAGAGTTTAATAAGTGCTGGAGGTCATAACCAGGTAAAACCTTCAAACCAAAAAAAAAAAAAAATGTTTAAATATATATTTTTTTTTCTCTTTCTCTCTCTTTTCCATTCATCAATGTTATTTTGTCATTTTATAGGGTGTTACCATTGGGTATTCTCCCTAATCCCATGAATCATGTTATCTGTTTTTTTTTATTTACTGTCACTTATCAAACCTACTTATTATACAAAAAAATTATATATATAGATTGTAAATTACTTCAATAAAATAAAAAAAAAAAAAAACTGCATAATTTATGATTAAATATTGCTATATTACAATGTAAATATTCAAAATAATGTCAGAGGAAACATATAAAGTGTTAGTCTAGTATCATTGTTTTTATGAATCAGTTACCATAAATTATTATTACAAAGTTGCCAAGTTTAGATATTTTATATCTAAAAAAATATTTAAAATTCATCTATTCTTTAAACTTTTAATTTATACAAGTGTGTTACCTTGCTATCCAAGGCAAATTGTTATTTTTAATTACATGGATTATGCTAAAAAGATACGAGGAATTTTTTTTATTAATTTCATAAAAATTACTTATGCTATAATGTATTATCAAAAATAAGTTATAATACAATTAGGACATGGATATCATAGTTTAGAAAATTAAATGTAGATTTATAGTTATCGAAAGTGTCAATTTTTTGGACAAATAATGTTCTTTGATTAGATAAACATATTGGTGTGTGTATTCTTGATTTAGGTACCTACTTTGTTTAAAATTAAAAATGAATCTTTGTTCTGATTTAAGTGTAGAAGCCTTAGCACTTTAGGATCCAAATAGCTTCTTGTATATCGATTGGATACATCATGAACAACACCAATAATGTCAGCTTCTTCAATAGAGTTAACAGAGTCGTTTGCAAAGGCTTTATCTAAGTTATATCTAAGAAAAACAAATGCATTTTAGTTGACAATTATTCGGATGATTAAAATCAATGAATACTTACTTTTCAATTTCATTAGAATCCACTAGACCAGGGGTATCCAGAAAGACCAATTGTGTATCTCCGATGCTTAAAACTGCACGGGCACCAGCACGCGTAGTGTGAACTTTTCGTGAATATGGACATATCTGCAAGACAAGTTTGTATTTAAAGAATGATTAAGGGTTTAGTGGTTAATATGTTTTTGTCACTGATCGTGACTTGTGTGTACGTGTACGTATGTAATGGGTGTTTACATTTCTGCCGACAATAGAATTTATCAGTGAACTCTTTCCAGCGTTCGGCACACCAATGATAGCCACTTTCAACAGCTTCTGTTGTTCGGGGTCCACTACATTTCCGTTGTCTTGAGGCTCTCCCCACTCGGGGTTCGAACTGTTGTATTTCCTTGAGCACAGAACTCGGGCTACACCTGGCGAAACCAGCGATCTTTTCAAAACGACCGACTGCAACACAGCAATCATACACTTAGCCATGGAGCGAGAGATCTGACATGAAACACGCGTTCGCCGATCGACGGATCCTAGCGGCCGTTCAACGTTCAGAGGAGAAAGGCATTAGCTGATTTTAACTTTTGCGTCCAAAATTAACTTGAATGAAAATTATTTTCGATTTTAACTATAACGTGTACGGTTCACCGGTTATTATCAGTTATCTAATCCCGTTCGACTGTGCGACGGAAGATTTTTATCACGGTAGACCGTACGTATACCATGGTTTCTTTAATAAATGTTACCGATTTAAAAATTGAACCACAGAAGACCACCAGGAGCGCTGCACGTCCCAAGAAAATCATAATATACTCTTTTTTTACCGGCTCAAGTTTATTTCAAATCTTTCACTGTTTCTATGTATTAAAACATTTTTTCTCTTTCATTTTGAGTTTTATTGGTGACCCCTTGCTGTACATAATGACTGCACGTGCAAACTTCATTTTTTGTCGGTATGCCGTTATATTTTTATCAACTTTCTACCTTCGATGTGTAAATATATATGTGAATTAATGTATTTTCATTGATTATAGATTATTGATCCTATAATCGATAGGGCATTTTTATGAATAATCTGATGCCCTAAAAGTTTTTGAAGAGCGGTCTTGCCATTATCATCGGTACATTCATATTTTAATTATGTTTCCAATATATTGTCACACTATGACTTACAAATTTGTAATCTCTTATTGCTGTGTCATACCTGCATAACTGAAACCGATCACTTGGGTATCCATCGGCATTACATTTTCTCTGTTATGGCTTGTGGCCTATGCAGGGGGATGATTAAACATTATTAAAGCGAATGATATATTCAATATTTGCAAGTATAACCTGACGTCTCATTATTTTTAAGTATTTTATTCATTTTGAACCTTTATTAGCATACACATAAATATTATATATAGTCCCTTTTGCATATTTGTTTTTCAATGTCATGTACTCAACTACTTAAATGTTTATTATAACGTATAGTAGTTAAGCCCTCTATAGATTACATTTTAATTTTTTTGTACTTCCCTAAATATAAATTCCATTGGGCCCTCATTTTATTTTTTTTATTTTCATAAGATATTTAAAATTTTTTGTTTAATGTCAAAGTAATAAAATTCACAATAATCACATTATGTGTACATCATATATAATTAATCGAGCTCAAAATTTCATTATGTTTTGCTTAGTACACTGACATCATTGTTTCGTAATAACATTTAATAATATTCTTTATGTCAATTCAATGATGACGAAAAAAATTTCATATCATGATATTGTACTGTTGAAGTATGTAGTAAGGAAATGTTTTTGTACCAGATCATGTCAATTAATTTGAGACCTCATGATTAGCGTTTTCCAACTGGTGTTCTGTGGAGGTTCTGTGAAGAATTTGTGAAAAAATTCATATTGTGTATACAAAAGATACTAGGGTTGCATTACTTGGATTATGGAGAGAAAAAAAGGGTTCTGCAAAAGTTCAGTGAGTAAAAGAAGTTGAGGAAAACTACTCTAGAGGACAGGGCTGTAAATGCCTATTGTATGATATTACATAAACACTAATACTATGGTCTCTAAATTTTTAATTGATCTGATCATTTTATAATTTCATGAAAACAGTGTATGAAAACAATAAGTAAAATACTCGTTATACTTTTCTCTACTGTTAATATATTGACATACATAGTTAATGTTTCAAGCGCTTTTACCTAACACAATATATTTTTTATTTTATATAAAATTTTGTAAGTATAGGTATGTGCCATTAAACATTCCATAGTTGATAACAAAATAAAAAAATTACAATATTACTTGTGGACCCAGTGATATGATTATTGAACAAGTTAAAATTAAAATAAAATAAAATGTATTATTTAAAAATTTTTATTCTATTACAATATTTAGGTTAAAAAGTAATAATTTTATTATTTGAATAAATAATATAAATAATGATATAAATAATATTAAAGACAAGTATAAAATTGTTGACTAAGTTCAAAATTGTCACATTAAATTTATTGACATGTAATAAAAATAATAAAAAGTAAAATTGAAATCATATATGTGAAAAAATAACGATAGGTATTTGTAATAAGCTGTTGCTATATGTTGTTAAAAAATATTTTTTTTTTTTTAAACATTCATAAAGGTCTAAAATAATAAAAAGATATAGTTTCAAATGACGGACACATATAATAAGCACTAAGCGCTATTGTGTTATCCTCATTTTGCATTTAAACAATTAAACATACAATAATTCTCTTAAAATTGTGTTATAAATACAGAAAAATATAATAATAATTATAATAATAATAATAATGAGGAAAAAAACTGAGTTGCTTAAAAATCATCTAACAACATACCTACCTATTATATGTAGTATATAATATTTATAAATAGTCGATTAACACATTTATAAATGTAAAAATGTATAACACACAGGTATACATTGATACATATTAAATGTATAATATAATACTAATCTAAAATAATAAGCAATTAACACAATTGTTATAAAATAGTAAACAATAATAATAATACAGGTCACGGACGCGATGTGGGTTGTCCATCTGATTTGTGTCGTTACCCTGGTACAAACGAATTGAACAAACGACTAGACACATGGACGTGTTTACACTATAATTTATAAGGTTATCACAGCGTGGTATTCATTAATTATTATTATTATTATTATTATTATTTATATAATATAATATAACATACGTTCAAGCATCGTCGCACGCGCACAAAACATTCTAACGGAGACGCTAAATACTAGAGTACACGAATTGGTGTGCGCGCGCGTGAGCGTTAAACAGTACGTCGAGGAATCAGATAACGCTGGACGGAAGTATGTCCAAGGGTCTCGTTAATGTGCTGGTGCCGTTTTCGGGACAACCGTTTTGCACGAGAAGTTCCGTCAATGGGCCAGCGTCTTGGACGTTTGCTGAACCGTTGCGGCAAGCAGCCCGTACATGTTGCAGACACGTCCGACCCTCGTGGTCCACCGCTTTGGCGTTGGCTTTGTACTGTAAAAAAAAAAAAAAACAAAATAAAAACGACCATCGAAACACAAGCACGAGCTCACACTGCTCTGTTTCGTTCACTCACCCATAGGAGAAGCTGAGCTATAGGAAGGTTGATCATGGAGCAGGCCAGGTGCAAGGGCGTGCGCAAGTCTCGGTGGCCGACGACGCAATTGACCTGGTCAGCAGTGGCGTGGGCCAACACCAGCGTGAGTGCTTTCATGTCACATCTGCGAATAATGACGACATTCAACGTAAGTTCAATGAAAATAAAAGGAAAACATAATCGTTGCCGATATGGAGTTAAGGTAGGGAATGTGTTATGATTATGTGTCTAACGCGAACCTGTACACGGCGTCGATAAGCTGTTGCGACAGGTTGGCCGTGTGCGCTATTGCCGGTAGGAACTCTTTTGTTTCATACTTGCTGCGTATCCACAGTTCTTTCTCTTCTCGGCTCGAACCCGGGTTCGGTTTGGTTCGATTGGGTCGGACGTTCGACTCCCAGACTGAATTCGCCAGATCGTTGCCCATTGCCATCATTACCTTGAGGTGAGACGGTCTGGGGGGAAAAACAAAAGCGTCGTGTAGTATTTTTCGTTTTTTCTTTTTCGTATGTATATTGTGCCCGAGCGACAGGGCGATTTGATATTGAAATAAATACTTACGGCCAACCATCTAAATCTAACGACCGGACTTTGGATATATGCGAACCTAAGTTACGGTGCACACCCGAACATTCGATGCACATGAGTATACCGAGATTCAAACTGGCCCAATCTGGATTCGGTGAATTGCAGTCGGCGCACTGGCCATTGCCGGGCACCCGCGTCCGGATGCTCTGCACGTCTTCCGAGCGATTGCATGACGAACCGAATTTACCACCGACGTTCACTTTAATAATTTCATTGCTCTGATGGGAACAAAACAAATCGTTAAGAGATGACATTATTTGGTCATGCGCCTGCGAGCTGAATTATTAGAAAACAAAATACGAACTTGTAAGGAGTTGAGAATTTGTTGTTCGATAGCGGCGACCCATTCGTCCCGGTCTTCTGAACTGTTAGCTTCAAACTGCCACTGTTTATTGTCCAACGAAACGATTAAAAATTCGTATCCATCGGTGTCTACGTAAGCAAATACAAATACAATCGTTTACAAACATAATATATTGAACACACACCTGATACATAAAAATTTTAACTACTCGACTGGACAAATAAACAAATCAAAACAGACGATAAAACTATAACTTGTTATATCTTTTCGAACATACGACACGCCATTGTTAAACAGTTTTGATTGACCACAAATAAAATTTTGGAATCGATGAATTCGATGTGCTATACAGATTGCTAGGAATATAAATTAATTTAACGGTGAAATTTATCATGAAATTAGAGTAAAATTAAGAAGTGTAAGGATAGCAAATGTGTAATCAAAATGAGATTTGAAAAAAAATGTAATCCTCATTATTGATACAAAATATAAAGCAAATAGAAAATCCTCGAGAAATACTCAGTATAAAATAGTGACGTGTAGCCTAACTAATTTAATGTATACGTATATAGCTGTTATAACGTCAATTATAAAATACATAAACAACACACCTTCGCATTCCTGATTCTTAATGTTGCTGCTTTTCATACGCCTGTGTCTCTTCTTCACGTTAGGCGTTTCGGCTTTGAGTTCACCGTTGTTTACCGACAATGAAATGTTCGACATTCCCACAGTAGATTCGTCACAATTACTGCGGGGGCAAAAAAAAAAAAAACCACGCTTGTTAAGTTGATTAATTTACTACACAGCTATCGGGTGACAATGTATAAAAAACAAATTATTTTTATATTAGAGATGTGTCGAGACTCACGCTGAACCGCCGTTCTTATAGCTGGGTTCTTTGAGCAGTTCGAAAGCAGTGAGCATCACTTTGTCGGCCGTCCGCTTGTCTTTCATTTGGAAATTCGATATCGATATGTTAGACATGTGTTCGGATATGCCGTTGCTGCTGCCGTGGTGGTGATTGGTCGACGACAACGACATGATCGTCTTCGAACCTCTGGGTTTTTGACCGGGCACCTTAACCGTGACGTACTGTAGCGATATCTCTTTGCCATGCACGTCTTCCATGTAGTCCTGCAAGCGGAGAAAAACGACAATTTGAATAAAAGTCGCCGTGGACACGCGAAAATATACGCGTTGAAATCGTAGTGAAAGTTATTAAAGTTACTCACGTGCAGGCTCGGATGGTACGTCAGACGTCCGTCGTCGCACAGCGTAACGTATTTCTTTTTCCATTCCTTGTTCAGGCCTTTGCTGCTGCGCTTGTACAAGTAACCTTGCTTCAGAGGTATCGCTCGGCCACTGCCCAGCTCACCGGTGGTTAGGCACCGATTCTTGTCATCTTTCTTGGACGGGTTGAACAAATTCGACCGTCTCCTCGTCTTTCTGGTGGTCGTGGGCGTGGAACTGGGCGTGGGTAAGTCTTTGGGTACCGAGAGCCCATCGAACACCGTGTTTTTCGTCGACACGTTGTTGTTGTCCAGCGCTATGGAGAGCTCCAGCGGTTGTCGGTTTAGCGTCGACGATAGGTTGGACCGGAGCACAGATTCCTTGAACGCTCCGCCGTGATGTGCTGGCGACGAAGCTCCGCCGCCGCCGTGCACGGTCGGAGACGGCGACGAGGCCTGCGAGAAGGTCCGCGAGCCAGCCGCGGCAGTTGCCGGCGACGACAGATGGTGGTGGTTGTATGACGAGGACGATAATCCGACCGGAGTGGTGGTTGACGAGGACGCGGGAGTCGAGCAACGGGAGTCTGACAGGCAGTTGGTGGACGTGGAAAGCCTCTGCTGAATGATTTTCTGACAAGCTGTGGGCACATCAATACGAGATATTATATACGTTATTGTACACATAAGCTAAATATATTTAGTGATTTTATTTGTCAAGCTCGATCTTATGCCAATATTAGGCACCTCAACAGATTAGGCATCCATCACTACCCTCTTTAAACGTACGATTTCGACGTTTCCATTTTTCTGCCTAACCACACAACTCTGTTCGCAAGTGAAGTTCAACGCCGCGAACCCTTACAACTATAAAGTATGTTGAAAATCTTAATGAAATCGTTAGGTTTTGGCATATTTCGAATCGTGAACCGTTTTCCCAATTGCTTTTTAAACTAAATCATAAAAACCCCGCAGAAGAATCCATTTCTGTAGGATCGTAAACTTATATTTTGCGTCATATTGCGGTATGGTTGAAAATCCGAAATCGAATCGTTACGAATTTCATAGAAAAAGTATTTGTAAACTTCTGAGCGACATCATCACATGACTACAGAATACTTTTATTGCAAAAAACACGGCATCTGCGCGCACCGCAGCAGCAGTTGGTCGGTGAATAAAATTGTGCAAGTGCCGTTGCACCGGTTGCAGACGAATCGAAATCGGAAAACAACTTGAACGCACGCGTATTGCACTGAATAAAGCGGTCGGCAATTGCGTGTACATGAGTAGTGTGCTATTGCCCACGGTAAAGGGACCGAATTCTTTTCCAAAGCTGAGCGCGTAAAATGTTTATCAACTAGTTTCATCCAATCAATGTGTGTTTTCGTTGGACGTACGTGCAAACCCGATATCGTATGAGTTTTATTATACGGGAAAAGCGTTTGAATCGTGTGAGCAAATATGCATAGCAAATATTGTATTATATGTGGCTTACCATCTTGGAACACCCGGTCCACGTTCAAACCATACGTAGCGCACGTCTCGTAATACGAACATCGTTTAAGGTCTGCCGCCAATTTCCTGGCCCTTGTATCGTCGATTACCCGAGGATTCGTTTCACTTATCGCATCTGTAAACATATATATGAAATATACAATGAAAACATGGTTATTACATACTGTTATCCATAATGCAATGCTCACGTACAACATATAAGTATTGTATGTGTGTGTGTGTACTCGCGCGATATGTACATAGGTTTTATTGGTTTATTACGACCTCTCATGCGTGTGTACACGTCGATGTCGGTTAAAAATGTAAAAGACATTAAATCTGACGCAAAGGACCTTTTTTTTATTACAGGACTATAATATGCGCGGTACATAAATGTTAAACGAAAACGGGATACAGAGTGCCGAGAAATTCGAGCAGTATAATCAGCTCTGTATTATGTACCCTTACCGCTGCAGCAATAAAAAGCATAATTTAACCATATCGAATAGAATACGTGTATATATATATATATATATATAGATATATTTGAATTAACAATGGTGTGTTATAAAAGTATCGATTTTATGACGCATATATGGTTTGCTTAGGGATCAAATAAGACTATCGCGATTGCGTTTTACGGTACCTATACAATATGAATATGATGATGAGATATTTCCCGAAGCGAGATCGAATATATTGATGTTCTCAAAATCGCGAACATTGCATGGCTGCACGTGGTGCTCATCGTATGACGGTAGTATATTTAAGGAGGGCGACGAATGAGAGATTTATCCCTCTTTTCGTACATTTTAGTGTGTATTTGTGTTTGAAATTTAAATTTGAAAAGATAAAACTTTAAAATAATAAAAAAAAGTATAAATAAAGAAATTAACCGAAATCGTGTCAGAATAGGATATTTTATAACGGTTGTAAATAATTTTCATATTTTCCCTCCATCTCTATAAAATGATAGTAAAGTTTAAAATTACAGTACAGTACACATAAACTGATCTTAATACGGCGTTTATTTCGATAGGAAATATACTCGGTGTAGATTTCGTACACTTACCCTGTGTGCCAACCAAGATCAACGGTACCTCGGCGGAGTTGCGGTAGTGTGCCATTTTTGTGTAGTACCCGTATACGGCGTTGAAACTCGCCTCGTTTTCCAGGCTGAACACGAATATGACTGCGTCCACCCAAGCAGTAAACTGTAAATAATAAAACACATATCGTTATTAGTCACCACGCATTTTTTTTTTTTTGTAAGAACGTGTGCACACAAACAATAGTGGAAACGTGTTGGAAATACTGAAATTCGGCAGTCGGTGGTGTTGTGTACAGTTCACAGCGTTTTGGACAAAGATCGTCGTAATTATATTTTATATAATTATTATAATAACCGAACAGAGGGCATAATGAGATGAACTGTTTGTATATTCGATATGATTCTAACGGACTAAACGACGTAACACTGAGGTTGATAACGACAAACGGATGAATGTGCGCGCACCCTGTTGTCAGCCGTTGTCGAATCGCCGCCGTCGAGGGTGGCGCGCGCCGAATCGTCGAAAACCGATCGATATGGAGCGGAGGAAAGGCAGGAGCAGGAAGAGGAGTACGGGGATGACAAAAAGAGCTGGACCGAGGGGATGACGAAACGATGACACACTGAGAGGTCGCGGAGAGCGCGCGTTTGTTTTCAAGGACGACGCGTCAAAACTTGATTGTGCGCGTGCGACTGGTTGTCAAATCGACATCGTCCCATCGCGACACGTTCCCTGTGGACCGGCCACAAACCCTCATACAGAATAAATTATATTCGTTCTCTGGGGTCCAGTGAAATATTAATAATAAAAATCATAATTCGCTGAAGATAACGATTTTTTTTCTGTCGTAATATTATATAATTGTGATTGTCGATCCATTCAATCACGTCAATACTGCACGCCGTTCAAAATTAAAATAAAGGTCATGAAAAAGGAAGGCAACTATATTATACAATCAATTACATTTATTTCCAATGATAATATTCAGTTCAGAACGTCATTGGAATTTTTTAAACACCTACACCCCAACATACACTTTGTGGACGCAGAAACTCTCGAGTACGTCGTATCAAGCACAACTTCAATTAAAATCCTTCGCCGTACCCACAACAATAACACGGTGGCAAGTAAATATTGATTGATTTTTTTACATTTTTTAATTTTCCATTACCATGCATCAGTGGCCAAGTGTAAAATCATTAACGGACGTATTTTGTTCGCTGCACACGAGTATAATAATATTATCTACCTAAAAGAATACACGGACGTCATGGAAAAGAATACTTATTCGTGCCACTGCGTTTCGATTATGCGCGCGCCAGCAATCGATTTACCAGTTGAAATCGCTAGCATGTTTTATATTTATTATATTATTATATATTTAAACACACGCCGTACTAAAATTCACCATGAAACAACGCACGACGTCTGACAGTACAAATTATATAGGTATTACACACCATCCCCGTTTGTATACAAGTAAGCGATTCTTATGTTTCCACACAACAATATAATAATAGAAAGGTCATTATTATTATTAATGCGTTTGGAATAAAACGCCTACTGCTTTGATACACACACACCACCGTATACGCATGTTATAAGACACAATAATAAAAAGCGAGGAGATACGAGAGTATATTAATAAAAGGAAGTGTAACACACGAATAAGGATATGCGATATTGATTTTTCAAACGAAGGAAAGAACAGCATATTTTAATTTCGGTGTCTATTGCATAAAATACGGCTAAGAATCACAACAACACTATGACAACGCACGCGTTGGTTTTATATACAATTAATTCCGACGATAAGTAAAATGCACATAACAATATAAAAAGGAGTTTTATTTATCATAGCGCATCATCGTAATCTGTATTCGAAAAAAACCATCACAAAGTGTACACCGAGGTAATATTATATACACACCTATATACGATTGTATTATTTGTGAATATTGCATATTCGTGTGTTAATCTATCCAAAAAGATTCAATGGTAAAAAGAAAAACAAATATATGCATATACACACATTTTTCGCAGTCTTCGTGTCTCGGTTAGGATTTGAGACGAGAAATATGTGAAAAAATAAAGCAAAGTTTATTACATTCTTCGGACGACGACGGTGCGCCTCGGTGTTTTGTTCAAATTAAATGTATAAATAACTATTAGTGCGGTACTGCTGTGTGCGCTGCGGGACGGTTTATTATGTAAGATAATATGTAAGCGTGTACGGGGGTCTATATGTCGAACAAAAAGTCAGATCTTGGATCGAGGTGCCGTACGCGACGGATGACAAAGAATTATCACGAAGCGTCATAAACGCACTGCCATCGGCGACGGCCTATTATCACACTTCCTACTGTTAACCGTTTTTTGAAGTCCGAAAACCGCACGTTCGAATATTAGATATGACGGGCGAAAAAAGTCAAATAAGTGAACAGAGTCACGTTGTAGCGCGCACATCATAATTATTTAGTGTTTCTGTGTACCGTAAACACAGTGCCGATTATAACGAAGGGGGTACTACATTTAATGTAACAACAGTGCAATGCAACGTTTTCGATTTCTTTTTTTTATTTTCCAAATAATCGTTTATCAGAATAGTTAACGATAACTATACAATCAATATTTCTATTTATGTACATTATTATACCTTCGGATACCTTATTTTAAACGAGCATAAATACTGTTATAATTACATATAAAATGCAGAAGATAGAAATAGTTTTTTTTTTTTTTACCTTAATGAAAATTTAATTGGTATACAAATTTCGATCAATTCTAATTTAAATTGTAGCGTAAATGAAAAATAATATGCAATTATAATTAACTATTAACGTATAATTATTCATAGTAAATTATGTTTATTGTTCTAACAGCTATCCCGTGTGTATACGAGAAACATTTGGAAATCGCACAAACACGCGACAGACGACAATAACCAAACAAAATGTGCCTGTTGTCACAGCAGCTGCCAGATGACGCATACGCACATCGGAAACGAGAACCGACTATTGTCAAAAATATTATAATATTGTTAACGTTGACTTCATAAATATAGGTGAGCATGGAATAATGATATAATATTACGCCGTGAGCGTGCGTGTGACGCGATAATTGAAAGCGAGGGCAAGTATGCAAATATTATTGCGATCGTACTTATGGCACGTGAAATGATTGGTTGTGTGTGTATTTTCTCTATCTTTCAACTCGCTAAATTTTCACCTCGTTCATCCTGTCACGTGTGCGCAATTATAATCGAAACGACTCGACGACGACGACCGAAAAACGCACACATCCGTCGTGAACGCGCAAAGACCACGGTTTTTCGACAAGCTACCGTTATTATAAAAAATAGAACATATATACGTAGTCGTCAAGTACGTGAACGATATACACACGTATACTTTTACCGTAATAAATACTAGATAAAGGACCTCTCTTCCATCCTCGACCAGTAGTCAAATGCAAAACGAAGGCGTTACGAAGGCAATTATTTTGTATAATTATTATCACGTGGTGCTAACATCATTGTAGATCGAATAACAAAAAAACAAAAACAGAAGAAAGAAATGTAAAACATAGGTAACGTGTTAATTCAAAAAAAAATCTACTTATATAATTGACAAGTGTACATAAAATAAATTGATTACTTGTGAATACGCCCATACACACATAATGAATATTATATAGGTATTCTACATATTTATTGTCTTAGAAATTTTAATTAGAAATTTTACAAATCCAATTTAATTGGTAAATCAACTCAAATATACCAGCCACTACGAACTAAATCGAGTATGTTATATTATTTTATGTAGATATACAAAGTATACCTACACTCGACGTTTCATCTGCATTTGACCTTTTGATTTTTCCTTTTCTGCAGCGCACAATATTGTAATCCACCAGTACCTCATCTTTTGTACTATAGCACGTTTGATTGAACTTCGGAGAGATTTGCGGATGACGGTAAGATATATTAATATACATATATATGTACTTAACACACCATTGAGGTGTAACGCTCGAGTGCCGTAATGCGTACGTTTATTGCGCGTCATAGGCGAATTTTTTGAATCTAATTATTCGTCTCGAGTAAAAATATTCGTATACGAGACGTCATTTTCGAAATCGCATTCAGCCAATCGGAAAAATAAATAATAAAATATTCACGTCGCGGGTACAGAAATGGATTTCATTGCACGTAATCGTAATGTGCGTTCGTCAACACATACGACACCGTCACCGTTCTTCTGTTCGATTTACTCCAAGCAATCAGTGCCAGTGGTTTCTCGTCGAGGAAACGAGCATCTTATTACCATATAGCAATATACCTCATCAGTGGATCTCAGTTGAATAAAATATTAATAAACGCTAAGCACTTGCGTGTATAACTACGTTATTATTATTGTAATCTTCGCGTGAACCTCCGTCTAATGTGTACATAAGCCCTGCGATATCGAATTTGAATAAACTTTACTACGCCCCCCCTCTCGTATCAAAATATGCGCAACACACATGTGTATACACACGTGTACATACACGAGAGCCGCGAGCGCAGTATGTCGACCACGCAATGATCTTGTAGTTTTTCCGCGGAGTCGTATTAATTATTTACGATCTATAACGAGCCAGCAAGCATCAAAAACCCCTTTCTAGTTTAAGAATACATAACTATAAATGGATACGTTTAATCGGAAATAATTTAACGCGGTTTCACATATATACAGCACGAAACTAAGTTCGCTAAGACACCGTTCGAGTGTATAGGTACTCCACTGCACACATGCGCCATCACGGCCTCTTTACTTATACAGCCGAACCATCATTATTATGCATAAGTAAACGTGCAATACATAAATTATACGTATAAAGATATATAAATAGACGTGTGAGGATGTAACGGATATAATGCTAAACACGACTGGCATTTCCCGGGAGATCGCGCCAAAAGGTCCCCTGTGTGCGTGTAGTATCGTCAGCGATAGATTTCCGAGGAAACTTTTACCGAAATTGCACGCAACGTAAGCCGCACACTATCTGTATAAATAACAGTGATTCCTAGTTAGTAAGAAGTTACTAATAAAGTTCGCTAAAATTTTTTTTAATCTAACCAAAGAAACTTATTTTGTATGCTTTAGAAAAAAAAATATATT